TGAAGCCTGCTCAGGGTCCAGAGGTGGACTGCTCGCGGGACTAGACGCAGGGGAGACGAGGGGCGATGTCTGTAGCGACTGGGGAATGTTGTCGGTGGTTTCGAAGACAAAGAAGGCCTCGCCGCCCTCACCGAGCTTCATGGAATAGTTCTGCTTTACGCCATTGACCTTGAACTCGACCTTCTTATCCGACGGTCGCAGAAGAGAAAACTTCCCGAAGCGGACGTGGAACGGTGAGCAGAGAAGCGAGCCATCTTCCTGCTCGACAACGATGACATCAATAGCGCCGCTGAGGGTGGCTGGATTGATCGAGTTCCATGCTGTCGAGACCGACTCGCTGAGGCCGCGCACGTACTGCATCTTGCCTCTGGCGGGCAGAAGACGTCGAAGCGCTCGAGTTCTTCTTTTTCTTCCACGAGGCGAGGCTGGGTGCGAAACTGTAGCGGCTTGTCGCGGGGCCGACTCGACGACGATCCGAAGGGCGGTCGATCACAAGCTTGAAGAAGCGGAACGGAACGGTACGACAGAGTGAACGGTCGGTCAAGGTCAAAGAACAACCAGGAGCCTAAACAACCTTTACCCGTACAAGGAGGGAGGGAATAAGCGTACGGGATGTTTATCAAGAAGAGTTCAAGGCGGACGGAATGCGGATTGTTGGGGGACTGGGCAGTCGAATCGACGGGTCGGTCGAGGCGGGTTGAGCGCAACGGGAAGCGGGCGAGGTACCCGGTACAAAAAAAAAGGACGCTTGCTGGTTGGTTGGGCGGGTCAGTCTTTTTGCCGGTCAGGTGAATACGTCACCAGAGGTCAAAAGCAGCGTGTAAATATGAACTGTACAAAGTCTCGAGGGTTCTTGAGGAAAAAATAAGACAAGATATGATGACTGAAAATGATGACAACGAGGTGTGATCGAGTAAAAAAAGGGGAGCGCATGGAGGCGTTTTACTCCCGCGGCCGGTGCAGTAACAGGAAGCTCAGAATGACGAAGTTCGCAGCGTCTGCCCGTCCTGGGCGTTGAGGGGCGTCCTGCCCAACATTGGGGGGCTGACAGGTCGTTGTAGAGGGTACAAGCCTCTACCGCGCAGGGGTCTAGGTAGACGCCCCAGCAGAATCTATCACATGAATCTTTGAGGACAATGCATGGGATAGCCTGACAGTTCTTTGTTTCACAAGGCATTCTCTATTTGACAATGGAATAATTTTGCAAATTTCTTTCTGTGTGTATTCGCTTGTCTAAAGTAATCCAATGGCAAGGAAGCACCAAGAACCTTGCAAAATAACGACGTCCAATACATACCATCCTCTTCGCTCGCCTTGTCAAGTCTGAACCTTCAACCATGGCCAGAGTCACATACCACGCTGATCATTGTTCACCTTCTTAAAGCAAGAAATCCGCTTCTACTAAATACCTATCTTCTTCTGCTATTAAGATTTCTAGCCTAATACCCAAGCCCTTTCTCTCCTACAAGTGTAGGGTATGTTGGAGGTTGAGAGCTTCTAAAGGACAAACGGCTCACACACTCGAATCCTGGACAATACGCCAAGATTTCTCACCTTGGCTGAGAAATTTTGTCAAACATTGCGTTGTCCATCTCATGCTCCCACTCTGGTCCTGGCAAGATGCCCCAAGCAGGGCTCCAGATGCCATCTCGAATCCAGTTCTCTCTCAGACTGTACCGAGCTAACGTAGTTACGTCGTGATGGTGTCCGGGCTCGCGAAAGTCGAGCTCATCCTTGATCCGTTCGTACTCCTTGGAAAGTTGATATTCAAATTGGCGATTGGGACGAGACGCCCCTACATCATGGACTTCAGGAGTGGCTTCAAATATCTGCTTGAGTTGTTGAAGGCGCCATTGACGGCATTCGACCTCATGCCCTGGTGTCTTAGAAAGTATGGGCTCTTCATGCGCCCAGCGAGTTATGACCGTCGTTGTCTTGCCCATGATGTATTCGTAGGCACACCCAAAGGCAGGACCTTCACCTCTCATGAACTCACCCAGTTTCATAGGGGAACGAAAGTCGGGCCAGGCGTCACCCCAGTTATGTCCCCAAATGCCTTGTTCCACCCAACGACTTCAGACATTGTTTTCAGCGTTCGCATAGACATCTATCCAGCAGTTCCATGGCAATGTCTGCTTCCTCCCGTGCCGCTTTCCTGCTAGCTGGTGGATGAGGCGCTCGCACTCACGGGCGACTTGGCTTTTAAACTGAGGCAAGGGCCTTGACATGCCTGTTGGCCTAAAGACTTGCTCAAACTCGCGGGGGCTGGGGCTCCATCCCTGCTTTCCTTTCTCTAATTGCTGTTCTTCAATAGCTTCTTTGTACTTTGCCAGAAACTCATCAAGAATGTCATTTTTGAGACGCAAAGGATCTGCCTGCCTTGAAGGCTCACCTAGGGCAGTCAAGAACCAGTCTTGCCCAAAGCTCTTGTCTCGAGAATCAGGTTTAGAAGTCAAATCTGCTTCATTGGACTCATCAACACTCTCTCCGGCTGTGTTCTGCATGTTTTTATCGATAGGAGACATGTGTGCAAGCTGTAATTTTGTAGGTGTCAAATAGGTTACAAATAAGTTACCTACCCTATTATTGCGGTTGAGAATTATGCCTACAAGATTGCCCGGATTCTGATATATGTACATCTGACGATATAACGACCAATGCCTCAGACAATCACTATGAGGGGTTCTCTATGATACTGGCTGTTTCAGTTACTTTGTGTGAGCTATTCGGTGCTTCGTCTTAGCAACACTTCCTATTCACTAGCTACCCTGAGCATAACTGTTCAGTCACATCCTTTATGTGACCCATGACGGGCAGTGACAATCTGTTCAATTGACTAAAGTCAAATGGTATTTTGGAACAAAGTCACTACCCAAAAAGAAGTCTGGGATTTGACTCATGGCCACGACAATGAGAATCGGTCACGCATTTTTCTAGTTATCCTATTTGACCTCTGCCAAACCGGTAAGTTGGTTAAGTTCTAGGATATTTATTTATTTTTTGTTTGTTGTTCATAGTGTGAATTCTTCTTATTTTTCATCTTACTATTCATCTTCTATACTGTTCATTGGTTAGGCAGTGATTCATTTCCCACCAGGGTCAAATACTCATACACTCAGGTTAAGAATGACAAGAGATATTAAATAGTGCTAAGGTATGCCTATTTTCCTTGAAGAAAAGGTCTTTTTGATACTTAATCTGTTATTATTTTTATATATGTGTAGGTATGTTTTCATAGTGATAGTCTTCGGCATAGTGAGAGGTGCATTGTCGGTCTTTTGCGTCGTTTATATCTTGCCTCTCGTGCTACGTTACACACAAACCGTAGAAGTGAACTTTTAATTGGAGACTTCTCCTCTAACAAAACTTGGCGTCTTGGCACTCTCTAGCGTTCTGTAGCAGGCGAGGAGCAATCGGAGAGATAGATCTCGATTACAGTCGCCAAGTTCTTCACACTCACCTCTTGTCCCTGATTTCTCGTGATCCCGAGGCTTGTGCCTGAATGAGGGGCAGTATCTTGCAAGTACCGACTACTTTGAACTTGACGCCGCAGGGAATCAGTGGAGATTACCCGCCAGCTATCCATTTTTTTGCCATTATTCTCGCTGGCTTTCGTATTTGATCTCGTTGTGCCGAGGTGATTTGATGTCATCGATCCATGTGTTTGAGGCCGGAGAAACCGACCACGCGTGCGTAACGCAGTGGATGAACAATGTGGGATATTGCCCGATTGCTCACTCGTTACCCTTATGACTGTGAGTTAGTGACTGTTATTTACCCAATGTCGTCAGGCGCCGTGTCGAGCAATTCATGCTACCAAGCATCAGGGATCATGCGCTTGCTGTGTGGTTTGACAATCAATCTCACATGTCTGGAGCCAGACCAGACGTTGGCATGATCGGTCCGTTGCACAAGACAAGGATGGGTGATGCCGAGTTGGGCAAAGCCCCGATGCATTTTTGGGAAGCTTGGAAGAAGCCCTAGAAACCCTGGGAGCCGAAGAGGAGCGGACGCTAACGTGAGGCGATTTTCGGCTCTTGCTGCTGCCAAGCTGGATCTTGATTATGGGTTGGGAGCCTATTCGTGGCAGTAAGCTCCGGAGTTTTTTCCCCATGTGTTGGACGATGGGTATTATGGGAACTGGATATTGAGCTATAATTCATTGCAGTCTCTGCGCGGTTGCATCGGATAATTTTTACAACATTATTTTTACAACATCGCCAGTTGCCACATGCATCTTTACGTCTCGCAAACATTCCATGCTGGCCGGCAACTGGCATAAACCTTAACGTTAAATACTTACAGCCGATGACAGACGTGCGGCTTGTTCCTGTGACAGAAGGCATCGGCGGGTGGTTGGTTGCTGCAGAACACCCGTTGGATACGGAGCCCGTCTTTTGCCAACTAAAGATTCGCAACCGGAAACATCATCACTGACGTTTACAGACCAACTCCTTGAACTAGTGCGCACGCCTCGTTTTTGAGCCATTCCGGACCAAGCATTTCATCGTCCGGGCGGTCCGATACTACGCTTTGCATCACTGATAAAAGACGTGTAAGCAGCCAGCGCAGGTCATCTGAGGAGGCATCCATCCGTCCATCAACAAGCGCTCCCTGCCCTGGTCGAATAAAAGTAAAACAGGCGCTGGCGACTGCGAATGGGAATCGTGATGAAACAGCACCACAATCAGAGCACAGTGTTGATGACACGGTCACATCCGCCTCACCGCACCCATTCATGCCAGATCGCTTGCGGCCGGTACAGTGCCCATATTCCCGCCCGCACTTGGAGCCCTGCAGCCGACAATCTTACTGGACACGCTGTAGCAGGGAAAACCGCCTAACTGGAACCTGCCCGGATCTCCACGCTCCACGCCCGCCTTTTTTCCTGCCCACTGGCATCTGCCGACCCGACCTTTGGATCCCACACGACACTCTCGACGCCTGGGTCCGTCTCCAAAGCATCAACATCCTCCAGGACCGGGACCGCGCTTGAGAACATGTCATGGGAGTTGCCCGTCTTAACCACTCTCATCCTCAGCGTTCTCGGCTTCTGGTGGGTCTATAGCCCTCGCGCCAGCTACCAGAAGGCCTTGCTCTACGCCCTGCTCTGCAGCATCACCCTCCTCGTTGACCCTCGACGTCTGCTCGAGCACATGTCCCCGGAGTCCATCGAGGCATTGCTAGATATTCGCATCCATGTCCTGCTGATACACCACTTTAAGATGGTTCTGACACTCGGTGCCGTCGTCTGGTGAGTTTTGCCCAACACGTCACCTCTCCCTCTGCCCCTCATGTCCCTCGACAGATGCATAAGTAGTTCCTCCTCTCTGCTTTGCTTGTGCTAACTGCTGTCTTCTCAATCCCAAGGCTGCTGCATCGCTCGTGGCAGACGCTATGGAAACCCGTCCCTGACCTCATTAACATTCTCGGGGTCGACGTGCCTGAGCCTCCCGACGTGTCGCTTGCTGGCATTCGATCCGACGCCGCTACCTTGAGCTGGACTCGACCCAATAGCAACAGACCTGTGCAAAAATACACTATCCAAGTCAATGGCGTTCATGGTGGGTGCTGGTGTATCTTCTTCTTGCCTTGTCGTGGCCACTGACATGGCTCCCTTATAGTCGGCGATTCACCCGGAAACGAAGTTGCCATTACCGTTACAGGGCTCAAGCCCGACCATTTTTACAACATTCGAGTCGTAGCTGTCGGTCCGAACAACTTCCAGGCTGGAAGCCAGGTTCTTCGTCTGCGAACCTTCGGAAAGGATGGCAAACCTCAGCTTGGCAACTCTCGCGTGCCCACAAGTTTCGCCAACAACGATCACCCCCGCCCTAGACTTGGGGACGAAACAGACGATGCCGACTCGCAAAGAAAGCCACCCGTGCCCTCTGTTGAGGCAGCCCCCGTTCTCGATGGTAACAATGCGTCCACGTCTGATTTGAGCACGGCCGCCCCTGGCCAGCGACGAAATACGGTCAATCGGCGACATTCGCCGTCTGTCGCAAGCCTGGATCAGCCGCAAATTAGGGCATCCACGTCAGATGGCCCGGAACTGTCTCTGGATGAGCTTAACCGCCGATTTGAGTCTACGAGAAGGGAGGTTGACGAGATTGTTGCTCAGATCGCTAAAGAAGAATGCGAACTTCGACAGCAGGAAGAGGAGTTGAAGGCAGAGAAAGATGCCAAGAGGCAAGCTTTGAGGGAAAAGGAAGACCAGACCGCACAGCTCAAATCTGGCGTGAGAACGTCGATGGAGCAGATGCGTGCTGCAGAGAAGGAGCGTGGGAGAAAACGAGATCAGTTGAACGAGAAGGAGAAGAAAAAGTCCAAGGTTCGAGACAACATTGCCAAGCTCGAAAGCGAAGTTGAGAGGATGAAGAACGAGAGGGAGGGGTTTGAAGCACAGAAGACAGAGTTGGCAGTCAACCGCGATAAGCAAGGCCAAGAGCTTGACGAGTCAAACGCGGAGCTTCAAGAGAAGTGTGCAGAATTGGAAGCCGAGCTGAAAGACAAGGGGAAGCAGCTTCAAGACCTTAAGGCTGCCCGGGAGCAACTCCCAGGGGGCAACGACGAGCAGTGGAAGGAGAACGATGTCCAAGTCCGAAAGGAGTGGGAAGGCAGGCGGAAAGAGTTGCACAGCCAGCTGGTTGCTGAGACTAAGAAGGGTCATCAGCTGGATATGCACATCAGGGCGTTGACAGAACAACTGGCAGCCCTTCAACACCAATCCGGCCTTGCCTACTACAACCAGGCAGATGCGGCCCTGGAATATGAACCACCAGTGTCAACCCAGGACAAGCGGCTCAGCGGGAACAGCAATTCTCTCTCCAACCTGAACTTGTCGTCTCCGCCCGGCCAATTCGCCATTCCCGAGGACAGCTTCCCCGTTTCGACTGGTTTCACCCGCGCAGGTTTTGGCCCAGGGTTGTTCATGGACATTTCTGCTGATAACCCCGACGATCGTCAGTCAGAATCGGACTTTAGATCAGCCGCCGGACCTCTGAGCCCTACCGCGCATGCTCTCCTCCCATCTGATATCTTTGACGACCTTGTCGAGGACACCGAGCCGAGACCTCCACCTTCTCATTTCTTGCCTGAGGCTATCACAGCTGGCGAGGATGACCACCCGCAGTCTCCTGCCTCATCGGACGGCCGGTCACTAAATGTGTTCTCTAGCCCGCAGGGTTCATCGCACAACCTACCGTTCCCTCAATACACAGAGAGCGACGCTCAGTCGTTGAATCTGCACACATCTCCAACGGCACCCCCGGCAACTGGGCACAGACTGACAAGTTTGCTGTCTAACTTCCAGCGTAACAGAGCCCCGAAGGCATCCGACGAACTAGGACCTCTCTTTGGTACTCTTAAACCAGGCCAGAGCCAATCATTCCCTCGAAGTTTGGAAGACCACGAGATGTCAGGAGCCAAGCGCAGGATCAGCTTTAGCTGGATGAAGCCGCATGGGGGTCCAGAGCCGAGTCGAACTGCTGGGTCTGGCTCAAAGTCATTCTCGACTCGCCGGCTTAACCCCTTCGCCAGCAGCGCAGGAGCCCTCACTGGTGACAGAGACTCGCCAAACTCGCGCCCAGCATCGATAGCATCGACAGATCTTCCACGACCCTCTACGGACAGTGGTTCCATCTGGGGAGTACCAGGTGACTTCTCTTTGATTGCTAAAAACCGCATGTGGTCGGCCAATGAAGGGCGATGGCCTTCACGGAACCCTTCTCGTCGGCCATCAATCGGTGGGTCTCCATCTAATCTAGAGACTTCCCTTGCATCTGCCGAGGACGAGATCTTGGATGTCGACGACTTACTTAACCCTCAAACGTCACCTAGTCAAGTGGGTGTCATTGGCTCTCGTCCTCCGAGCCACAGAGCATCCATGAGCCAACGTCTTAACCCGACGGCGCCTACATTTATGGCTAGCATCTTTGGCGGTAGGGAGAAGGACTCTGGTGCCGAGAAAGAGAAGTCCAAGGGCAAGGAAAAAGAGCGACACCGGGACAAGTCCAAGGAAGGAAGATCAAAGAGCAAGGAGGCACTCGCACCCTCAATTGAGGTGCCTCCTAGCCTAGACGACTCACCTTCAGACTCGCGAATGTCTCGAGATACGTTCTCGGTGCATACTCAGTTGTCAGTGTCAGAGTCCCACGAGTCTTTGAATCTCGACTCGACAGCCTCCAACTCGACGGATCATAATGCTCCTAGCCATAAGGACCCCGAGAATGTCGTCAAGAAGCTCTTCCGTAAGGGAAGCTCGAGTAAGTTTAGCTTGTCTTCAAGACTGGGCAAGGACTCGGGTCTCTTTAAGAAGGGGCCAGGCAGTGCCACTTTCTCGGAGAAGAACATGTCTGCGGAGCACCGGTCCAGCATTGGCGACTTGGATGAATTTGGCGAGGACCCAACTCCCCTCGGACGAGGCACTGAGAGCATGACGAGCAGTCCATCGCTGGGAACAGGCAGCTTCCGCTCCAAGGACGCCAAGGAGAGCCGGATGAACGCGTGGCGCTTCGGAATTAAGAAGAAGGGCAAGGACACTCCTGCAAAAGAGAAGGAGAGCATGGATATCGAGAGGCCTGCAGACACGGAGTAGGCAGAGTACTGTATGTGTACTGTTTAGTGGTTACAGTTCCATTGTCTAGTGAAGTAGCATTCATTGGAGGTGGACACAGCGAAGTCATCGAATCAAAGAGTTGATAACAATCACATCTCACCTATTTTGGATTTTCGTATAGTTCTTCTTTAGCATTGGTCTGCCTGTGGAGGGCCATGGCCATGGTCTCATCCACGTTTTGATATTGGTGTTGTGTCGCTCAGGGGTAAAAAGAGCTCGCGCTTCAGCCACATCCGCGTGGGTTGATCAAAGACCCGCTTTTCAACCATCCATCATGACAGTTAACACGTGCAAGAAGCAACAACAGCTGTAGACGATTCCTCATGCCCAGCGCAACACCATCAACTTCTATTCATTGAGACACGGGAGACTTTGGGTTGCACGGGGCCTTCAATTGACTGCCAAGATGAACGGAAATTTGCCGGAAGCCTCAGGCTTGGATGCAGGTAAGCTACCTACCTACCTACCCACCCTTGCTCTCCTTGCCATGGACGCGCCTAACTGTGCCTTCGCGACAGTCGACTACGACCCCATAGATCATTTGAACATCCTCTTTTCACATCCGTCCGCCGTATCGTCTATTAGCGAAGTGTCAAAGACCCTACAAAGCCACCAGAATGCGCTGTCCAACGACATCGCAGCCCTCGAGACTGAGCAGGCTTACGGGCCTGACTCCAGTTTGGAGCGCATGCAATCGGCACAGGCTGAGCTCGCTCAGCTCTTCCGCAAGATAGAGACGGTGCGGTCACGAGCGATCGAGACGGAGCAAAACATCACATCCATGACGGCCGATATTAAGAGACTCGATGGCACAAAGCGCAACCTGACGCTGAGCATGACGGCCCTTAAGCGGCTACAGATGCTGACGACAGCGTATGAGCAACTCAGGGGGCTGGCCAAGACGCGCCAGTATCGAGAGTGCGCGGGACTGTTGCAGGCTGTACTTCAGCTCATGAAGCACTTTAATAGTTACCGGAGCATTGAGCAGATCGCGACGCTCAGTAGAGGCGTGGCTGAGCTGCAGCGGGAGCTCCTGGAACAAGTCTGCGAGGACTTTGAGATGGCATTCACCAAAAGCGAGGTCGGCGCTCGCAGGGGGACGCTCGCCGAAGCTTGTCTGGTCATGGATGCTCTTGGGGACTCGGCCAAGGCTCGTCTCATGACATGGTACGTCAACACGGAGCTACGAGAGTACCGACAGGTCTTCCGCGGAAATGACGAGGCTGGCAGCCTGGACAACATCGGACGACGATATGCATGGTTTAAGCGGATGATGAAGACACACGATGACGAGCACGCCATGATCTTTCCTCCTCACTGGAGGGCTAACGAGACGCTGGCGACAGCGTTTTGCGACGGAACTCGTGACGATTTTAAAGGTATTCTGGAGCGGAGCATGCGGCGAACTGACGGCAACAAGATTGATGTCAACCTACTTCTGAGCTGTCTTCAGGAGACGCTGGACTTTGAGCAGAGCCTCGAGAAGCGGTTCGCGACGTCGTCAAGAGCGAGCATTGATACGCTTAGCTCAGTCGAGGAGAAGACGCATAGCTTTCACGGACTCATCTCTGTTGCGTTTGAGCCGTACTTGAGCTTATGGGTTGAGTCGCAGGACAAGCAGCTTGCGGCCATGATACCAAAGTACCGCAACCAGCCGCTCATCCCACCAGACGAGGAGTTCTCCCCTCAAGCTGTCATGACATCTGCGATCGAGCTATTTCACTTCTACAAACTCACGCTGTCACAATGCGCCAAGCTATCCACTAGCGAGCGTCTCCTTGACCTGGCAAAGACACTTGCCAAATACCTGGATGAGTATGCACAGCAAGTTCTACTATACAGGCTGCAGTCAGGAGGCCCCCAAGGCCCCCCGATCGAAGATGTGGTGCTTGTTCTAAACACAGCAGACTTTTGGCACGTCAACACCAGCCAGCTTGAGGAGAGCATCAAAAAGCGTATTGATAGCGAGCTTGTGCCAAAGGTAGACCTATCGTCACAATCGGATGCTTTCCTAGGCGTGGCGAGCGCATCTGTGCTGGCACTTGTACGAGCAGTGGAGGTGGACTGCGAGGGCGTCTGGCGCGAGATGAAGAACACCAACTGGAGTACAATGGAGAGTGTCGGCGACCAGAGCTCGTACGTGGGAGAGTTGGTGAAGCATGTGGATGGCAAGGCAGCAGAGATTCTCGCTGTCGTTTCGAAGCAGCAGTATGCCAGGGCGCTCTGCGACAATCTGGTGGAGCATCTGGCGACAGGCTATCTCAGCAGCATTGTGCAGTGCCGGCCTATCTCTGAAGTCGGCGCAGAGCAGGTGAGTTTCTTATCAAGTAGACCAAGGTGTATGACAACTAACAGGCTTCTAGATGCTACTGGATAAGTACGTTCTCACCAAGGCGTTTGAGAAGCTGCTGCTACACCATGCGTCGTTCTCTGGACAAGATGCTCCTCCATCAAGCTTTATACGGAGAGTTCAACATTGCATGAGCCGCTTTGACCCCTTGCTCAAGACATTGCAAGTGCGGCCCTCACCACCAGAGGGATTGGTACAGGCGTATTTGATTCACATCGCGGACCGATCCGACACCAATTTCAAGAAGATCCTGGAGCTGAAGGGCGTTCGCAAAGCAGACCACGCACATCTCATCGAGCTCTTTGGCATTCACCGAGACAGCACGCCTAATGAGAAGTTGGTGGCCAGCTCACCGTTACTGGCGCCTCTCATGACTTCGTCAAGCTTGGGTAGCAGCGTCGGCGCTGGTGCTCTGGGTTCGATGAACCCGACTATGGCAGCGGCAGTAAGCCCACGGTTCGAGGCAGGATCACTAGGCGAGAAGTTGCTCAGTGCGGCTAGGGATATCAGCCAGAGCAGCACGGGCATGGGAGGCGCAGCAGGACAGACAGGACTGGAGAAGGCTACAATTAACGAGAACCTTCGCAACTTTGGCAAGTTCTTCAAGAGGGATATTGGAGCACTGGGCGCGAGGTTTGGAAAGCGAGACGGCAGCGTGGGAGCTGACGAAGGACAGCGTTAGACGACAAGTGTTGTGAGTACATTTACTTTGTATTCAACGAATGTGTAATAAACTGGGAAATGGTTACAGCGTGGGAACGATTATCAGGCAGAAATGACGAAAGTCTAGATGAATCATGTTAAAAGCCTAGTCCGAGTACCCCTTGTCATGAGGAACCATCATCATCTCGCCATCGGCATCACCAAGTGCCGGCGGTGGCTTATTAGTAACATTCCCGAATCGCCGAGAGTGACAAGCACGGGGTTTTCGGTCCTCGCATGAAAATGAAAATGAAATACAAATAGAAAGAGCAACTGATTGATAAAGCAAGGAAACCAACCAATCCATCAGATTCCGAAACCTCCACAATCGCGTTCGGCTTATAAATCTGTCCCCCAATCACGACTCACAGTTCTATTCCAAATTGTTCATTCCAAATCGACCCCCGAAAAACGCCGTCCCCTCGTCGTTTCCGTCCCCAGTTGCATCACATTGCGTCGCCTTCCCCATTAAGGTACCGCGGTGTCTGGCCTCTCACAAACGCCGAAGTCGCTCCTGCCCGTTTTTTTTTTTTCTATTTGCCCCTCTCTCTCCGACTACGAAGATACCCCACCATAGACACCATCCAACGAGGCAGCCACGACCCCTACCTCACCTCTTTTCCAGCTCCAAGGCTTGTGCATACATTTAACATCTTTTTAAGAAGATCAACATCCCACTCTTTTTTCAACAACACAAACACCGCCAAACTGTTCTCCTCAGCCTTTCGACGAGTTACCCTCCGCTCAAGCGCTGGCCTTTCCATTGCCGCCGCCGCGACTACTCTACAAAAGACCACACGACACCCAGCCGAGTTTGGCGCTAGAAAGATGCACAGCAAGGTTGTCAGTACGTGATCGACTCCGTGCCCCTCCTCTTACACCTCTAGGATACAGCTGCTGACCTTGATGGAACAGTTATCGGCTCAGGGCCTGCTGCCCATACCGCCGCCGTCTACTTGGCACGAGCCGAGTTGAAGCGTGAGTCTTGTCCCTCGAATTCTGCACCGTCGACCTACGACTGACATTATATGCGACAGCCGTCCTCTATGAGGGTTTCATGGCCAATGGCATCGCCGCTGGTGGCCAATTGACCACCACCACCGATGTTGAGAACTTCCCCGGTTTCCCCAAGGGTATCATGGGACAAGAGTTGATGGTAAGATGCCCCTCTTGAACCCCTCGGAAGCATCACCGCCTAACCACTTTACAGGACAACATGAGGGCGCAATCCGAGCGCTTCGGAACCGAGATCGTTACCGACACCGTCGCGACCCTCGACCTCTCCAACCGCCCCTTCAGGTACACCACCGAGTTCAACCCCGAAGAGACTCACACCGCCGATGCCGTCATCATCGCTACCGGTGCCTCGGCACGTCGACTCCACCTCCCCGGTGAGGACAAGTACTGGCAGAACGGTGTCTCTGCCTGCGCCGTGTGCGACGGTGCCGTCCCCATCTTCCGAAACAAGCCCCTCTTCGTCATCGGCGGTGGTGACTCGGCCGCTGAGGAGGCTACCTTCCTCACCAAGTACGCCAGCCATGTCACCGTCCTCGTCCGCCGCGACGTCCTCCGTGCCAGCCGTACCATGGCCAACCGCCTTCTCGCCCACCCCAAGGTCACTGTGCGTTTCAACAGCCACGCCACTGAGATCAAGGGTGGCGATGATGGCCTCATGAGCCACCTTGTTGTCAAGAACAACGTTACCGGCGAGGAGGAGACCGTCGAGGCCAACGGCCTGTTCTACGCCATCGGTCACGACCCTGCTACTTCCCTCGTCAAGGGTCAGATCAAGATGGACGAGGATGGCTACATCCAGACCATCCCTGGCACCACAAACACCAGCATCGAGGGCGTTTTTGCTGCCGGCGATGTTCAGGACAAGCGATATCGACAGGCCATCACCAGTGCCGGTACAGGATGCATGGCTGCCCTTGACGCCGAAAAGTTCATTTCTGAGCACGAGGACCAACCCAACTAGCAAACCACATGGTTAAAATCTCCCATAGACTTGTGCCATTTTAGAAAAACTGAAGATATAGACACTTGGACCAAGGCAAAGAGCAGGAGCGGTAAATACAAACTTTGATAGTTAATTGTCACGAATTTCAATAAAACATGTGTTCACTTGTGCGTGTTATGTGTGCAAACTGTCCATGTACTGAGAATTGCCCGTCATTTGAGGCATTGCTCTCGATTGCGTCTATGTGTCCGGTATTTTATCATTATCCCCCCTCGTTATTTTGCATGGCTTCTCCATCAAGCCTACTTCCCCTTGGCCAAGCAAGGACAACAGCGTCATAATGCTATCCAACCTGGCCGTCATGGTATCATATTTTTGCCTTCTTACTCGCGCTCCAGAACAGCAGGCGCAATAATCTCTGTGCCAGAGACCTTCTCCAGGCCCTCACCACCCTGTTCCATGTTAGCATTGCATTCTAAAGTAACCTCTCAAGGGGTGTAGACTTACGTAGCTGATAAGCGGCGACACCTCGACGCCAACCTCGGCCTTGTCGCCAACAACAAGGGCGCCAGCGGCCTCAACCCAGCGCTTGCCCTGGGTCATAATATCTCGCTTGCTGGTGTCGGGGTCGTCCTCGCCAGTGCCGGGGGCGTTCTTGAGGGGAGAGAACTCATCCTCACGCTTGACCTCGAAGCAGGCAAACTTGTCGAGAGACAGCAGAGGGAACACGTCAAAGACGAACTGCTCAAGCTTAATGCCGTTAGGCTTCTCGGGCTTGACGGTCTCACCGCTCTCGAGGTCGGCAGCGGGAATCTTCTTGCGGGCGATGTGGTGGGGAAGCTTGTGAGCCCACTCGGGGATGGAGTCGAGGAAGCGGAAGGAGTAGTAGTGGTTGACAATGTTGGCAGCGCGGAATCGCAGGACGTCGGGCTGCTTGGGGTCGGCCTCCTCAGCAGTGGCCTGATCAATCTCGGAGTACTCGACAACATCGGGCTTGCCGTTCTTGGAGAGAATCAGGCCGACGGACTCGGTGGCATTGCGCTTGCGGACGACCTTGGTAGCAATGTCGACGTCGAGAGAGGCTGAGAAGCCGATGAAGACGGGGTCGGCGACCTTGACAAGGCAGTTGTCGACACAGTAGGCGTGAATGTGCTGGATTCCACGCTTGCGCATGTCATCGAGAACACCAGAGACGACGAGAGCCTGGTAGATACCACCGTTTCCATCGGGGGCAACAGCGACCTTGCCCTTGGTCTCAAGGAGGATCTTGCCGTCGTTGGAGATGCAAGGAAGAACACCCTGCTCAAAGATCTTGACATTCTCCTCGCTCAGGCCAAAGAAGTTGTTCTCACGGAAGAACTTCTCGGTGGGACCACGGGTAGGACCGCTGGTCATGACGTACCAGGGCACAACGGCAGCGTCACTGCCAGCCTTCTTGGCGGCAAGCTCCTGAACCTTGGCAATTCGCTCGCCCTGGATCTGGAAGAGAGACTTGTGGGAAGGCAGGCCAATATCGTAGCAGCCCTTGGGAGCAGAGCTACCAAGTCGGGTACCCTGACCACCAGCCATGAGGACGACGGCAACCTGACCCTGGGAGATGAGGTCAAGACCCGAGTCGTACCACTTGTTAATGTCATCGGCATTGGAGTCGAGGATACTAGCGGTAGCGGATTCGGGGAGAGGCTCGAGGACATCGGGCTCATCGCTGGTCTTGGGAGGGTTCAGCGCACGGTTGGTGATCTCGTTGATGTGGGCGGGATCGAAGCCGGAGAGCTGCTGGTAGAGGGTTCCTCGCTCGGCGGAGGACAGAGAGTCGTAGAAGGTAAAGACCTGCTCCTGGCCAGCCTGAGTGTACTTCTCCTTGAGCTCGTTGAGAGCCTCGGGAGTAGGCTCAGGAGGGGCATCAGCGCCCTGGCCAATGTGAAGAGCCTGCTTGATGGCCTGCATTGCGACTGATGGTGGGAGAGGTTGGTAGAGTTGCGGTGAGGACAATTAGGAGAAAGAAGACCTTGGCAGCAATGAAGCAACAACGAAGAGCAATTGAGAGCTAACAGACAAGAAGCTGGAAGCTCGAAAGACGGTGGAGGATGAGAATTGATGAGAATGGAGGGGGAGAAGAATGGAGGAAGAATAAGCTTCAGAGGAAGGGAAGGAGGTGATAAATACGAATCTGATCTCGGAAAGACCCTTACACAAGCCAACCTGGCTCTTACTGGCACGCACCTTCCTTGACGTTCTACTAGGATTTGCCAACTGGAACCCGACTCTTTCTGCACCTTACCTTACTTGTCCGGTAGAAGGTACAATGTCAAAAAGGCTGGCGGGGGCACCAGAGAAACTTAATACCTAGAAATAATACAGCTGTGACACAACTGAAGCTTATACCCAAGCTTCAATAAAGCATATACATCAGTTAAGTTCGCAACCGCAATGAATAAAGCCGTGATAACCTTAGCAAAACCTCTTCAAAGATGGATAAAAGACAGAAGGTACATTCGTCGTCACCTTGCCCACCTACCCACCTTACGTGAAGCTCCTTCCCCGCCACGCCGCCGCCAACGCTGATGCCCCTCTCAGCTGCCCCGCCAACTGCGTGTCCAACAGTCCGCGTTGGCCAATTGAGAGGTAAGAAGTAGCGGCTCAAGGGGCCCATCGATCCTGCCTCTTGTCTGATGCTGATGCAAAGATGCAAGCATCCGGCCTTTGCTGAGAAGCGCCATAGCGACCCATGCCGCTACGCTGCCACCTCCTATTCGTCTATTGTCATGGTTGCTGATTGAAGACGGCGTTTGAGGTTGGGAGCGTAAGCGCAGTAAGCTTTGAAGTGTCAGACAGCTTCAATGGGTTCTGTTACAGGCGTCGAAACGTTGGGCCTGCGAAAGAACAGCTTGACAATAACTCTCACGGCAGATGCCACGGCTCGTATCGTCGGTCAAGGCAAGGCCCACGTATTCATCCATGTCCCTCGGATAGATTCAGGGGCCAGGCTCGTTCATGCCCTCCAGTGTCTCACAGCCCCCACTGTCTTGGAGCCCATGTCGGTGTGGCTGTGGCGGAGGCTGACAATTGCCGGGGCCTCTCTCGAGCGCTGAAAATAGCTGAGAGCCGCTGACGGTCCCCAAGGCTGACTTGCCTGTGGCGAATGGCCTAGAACACTCTCTTTGGTCCCGTCCGTCTGCAGGTCGTGGGAGAGGTTTGAAGCTATTCTCAAGCTAACCAGGCAGACGCCTCTTCATTTCCCGCGGCGTGTTTTGGCAAAATGAATATGGTCAAGGGGGATTTCCCATATCTACAGACACCAGCAAGTTGAAATTCTACATCCTCGCTCAACCGTAATTAATCGACATTTTAAACTCCACTTGCAACGACGGACAAGATGGCTAAACGCAAGGCCACTAAGGAGGCCGATGTAGAAGAGCCTATTGTTGAACAAGTCCAAGACGAGGAACAGGAAGCTCTCAGCTCGCCTCCTAAACCGGCAACTTTCAAAGGACGGCTGCAGCTCAACGACTTCGCATTCAAGTCAGACCAACCGGATTCAACCAGTGGCGACAGAAGAAGGTCGCCAAGATTCGCCAGCTCAGCCTCAGCCTCGTCCACTTCTACTGCTGCTTCCAAGAGGATTAACAACGATGACCAAGAAGACGATGGAGCCAAGCCTCAGAGGAAGAAGCGGGCACGCGCACCCGCTGGCTACGCGCCTCCATCGACATACGCCCATCTCCCAGGTCTTCCCGACGCCATAGGTGACAACCTCCTCGTCCTCTTTATCGGCCTGAACCCGGGGATCCAAACGGCACGGACTGGACACGCTTATGCCCACCCATCAAACCTCTTCTGGAAGCTCCTGTTCTCAAGTGGTGTAACTCCGCGTCCCTGCAAGGCGACAGAGGACCGTCAGATGCCGGAGCTGTACTCGCTTGGCCTGACAAACATCGTGGCTCGACCAAGTCGCAACGGCTCTGAGCTTAGCAAGCAGGAGATGGATGAGGGCGTCGAGATTCTTCACGAAAAGTGCCGCAAGTACCGGCCCGAGTCTGTTTGCGTCGTTGGCAAGAGCATCTGGGAGAGTATCTGGCGCGTAAGGCATGGTAAGCCTGTCGGCAAGGCCTTCAAGTATGGCTGGCAAGATGAGACGGAGAACATGGGTGTCATCAAGGGAGAATGGGCAGGGGCTAAAGTGTTTGTTGCGAGCAGCACAAGCGGACTGGCTGCTACGTTGTCACCAGCGGAAAAGGAACGTATTTGGGGACAACTTGGATCATGGGTTAAGCAGAGGAGGGTAGAAAGGGAACTTGAGGCGGGAGACAAGACGGACGAGACTGAAACGGCTGCTTGAAGTACTAGCCCTTGCTCTCACTTTGGATATAATATCTCTTTCACATATTCATCAACATCACATCTCACAGTCTCGGTCATGGGTTAGGTATCATCAATATGTGAATCCCGCCCGTCTAGACTAAACTTTTGCCATGCCAGGCCCATTCTCGGATTTCAACTAAAATGTACATCTTCTCCCCAACACCATACGCCGGAAGGACGCCCATAGGAGGCCTGAGTCTTACTTGCATCGCTTCTCGACCACGTTGGGTCCATTCTCCTCGTACTCCTTGCGCGAAATCCACATCTGGTGGAACGTGCCCAAGCTGGCGAGGATGCTGCCGCCGATCCAGGCACCGAAGCGTCGCTCGCTCGTCAGACCTGCCGAGTGAATCTTGATCTTGAGGCCGGGGTACATGGCCATCAGCTCGTTGTTCAAACGGTCATTGAAGCCGTTGATCAAGCTTGTGCTACCTGTAACAACAACGTTGGCGAGGAGGTTGCCTCGGAGGTCGACATCAACTGCAGCCAGAGCTGAGCGGATGAGCTCAGGGATCGTCTGAGCCTTGGTGAGGCGCTCAGACTCAGGGATAGGATAACCAGCGTTCTCATCCCACATGCCCTCAGTTACTCGGAATCGCTGCTCGCGCCACATCTGGTTGTAGCCATCGGGCATCTCAAAGACACGGCCGGGCTGTGTCTTGACATACTCCTCATTGCCAGGCACGTTGTATCGGCCAGGACCACGCCACACCTCCACCACGGACTCCTTGAACTCGGTCAATACCCGCTCCTCTTCGTAGGCGCGGAAGGAATCGTTGATCTGGAAGGGGAAGTGGCGTAGTCGAACTGAAGGGGGTGCCAGGGCATCGACAGGTGTCTTGTTCTCGATCATGAAGGTGGGTGTCAGGTCAACCTTGGGCTCTGATGTCTCCCAAAGGTTTCGGATCTGGGATGAGAGCCAGAGACCACCGACGGGCGACTTCTGGATGGATCGCTTGAGGACCATGCCATCATGAATCGCAGTGACCGAAGTGTTGGCGCCGCCCACGTCAATAACTAGTGAGGTGGCCTTGCCAGCGGCGAACGCTGCCAACACGGGGGTACGGCTCAGCCAGAAGGCAGGGCAGCCCCAGTTCTCCATGATGATCTCGATAGCCTTCTCTCGCGACTTGGGCGTGTTCCACGGCGCCTCTGTAATCAAAAGAGGGTTCTCTCCCAAAGGCTTCTCGATCGATTCTGTGGCCTCTGCGTCGTCCATGGAGACATCACCTTCACCATCCTGAGCCTGGTCCTTGGGGTCGTCGTTCAGGCCGTTCTTGGAAGGAGGCGTTTGTCGTTCGGGCTGCAGACGCTTGACAAGCATGTTCTCCCACACCCTCGCTGCAACATCCCAGTCTTCCACAACGCTATCCCGGTTCATATAGTTGCGAACCTCAAAGTCGGCGCGGGGGATGAGGCATTCATCACCAAAGATGTCGCGAGGCGGGTCGCTCGTGGTATGGCCGTAAAACGAAGGCAGGATAGACTTGGGGACATCTTCACCAGCGAAACCTGCTCGGGTGTAGCAGTAGCCTGGGTCGAGGACGAGAGCGGAAACCTCATCTAGATGACGATCAAGTTAGTGGAGATGTTGATGGAGGGCGGACGCGACATGGGGGAGCTAGAGCTGCGCGTACCTCCTCCGTAGATGTCGGTGGGCTGCACCGCCGAGGAAAGGGGTTGCTGCGCCATGGTTGACTTGGTTCAGGAAGAAATCGATCTGGTGATGGCAGAGGTCAATTGGATGATCCGGCGCAAAGTATCGCGAATTTGGTGGAGTTGCGCCAGGCCAAGTCAGACTGGATGGATGTCGCGTAGGAACAAATTTCAGCCTTGGCCGGGTGGTTGGCAGCAGCTAAGCTTTCGCGCCACACTAGGTCGAGGCTGAACTGTGGCTGGAAATTATCCGACCCGGATTAATCTCGGTGGGGCGTTGGCCTTCTTAAATTCTTTGCCGATCGTCGCAGAAAAGCTTCTCTCTTTTCTACCCATGGAGCGCGAGTTCCATGCTGCCATGATGATTGTAAGTCAACAATTCCTCTTTTTGCCACAATTATTTCCTTTGCGCATATGATGAGTTCGCATTCTCGCTTCAGAACCGCTGCGATTGACACAGCTTGCTGTGATTGATTACAATCTGCCATTCACTGATCTTGCCTCGAATTGCCTCGCTTTTGTCGCCTCACATTTGGATTGAGTGGCAATGCTAACTCAATTGATAGACGCCATGATGTCTGTACGATACTTTCGCCAGGCCGGCCGGCCTTTAATACAAACGCTTTCACAGTCGACATGTGCAAGTGCTCGGTGTCCACGTGTGCTTAGCCATGGTGATTCATTGACAAGGGCTGGATGGAGTCTGAAAGGTGTCGCGCAAGGGAGATGCCTGGCTACTTCTGTCCATCGTCAGAAGGAGTCAGTCATCAGGCCCGAGGAGAGTGCTGAGGGACTTTCACCCTTCAAGCACCAGCGTCGGACTGAACTGTGGGAGGAGCAACAGAGCGAGGACCCTCTCTACCCCGAAAGCCACCCACGTCTCGAGCATCGTGCCGAGCGCATGTCGGTGCCAGACTTTCTCGAGGCCTTCCGTAACGAGCTGGATGACACCAAGGACATCAGCATCTGTGGCCGAGTTCGATCAAAGCGAGTGGTCGGGAAGAACCTCATCTTCCTCGACATCGTGAGTGAGTTTGAACGCCTGCAGGTCATGATCAACCGATCAAAGTGTTTGTTGGACCAGGAGGAGAGGAGGGTCAAGTTCTCGCTTTTCAGAAATTTGATAGAAGTGGGCGACCACATATGTAGGATCCCAAATGCTCACTCTGTTTATCCCCAGATGCTTACAGTCTGGCAGCTGTCGTTGGCATACCCACCCGTACTAAGGCTGGCGAGCTCACCATCGAGGCCAAGGCTCTGCCTGAGTTGTTGTCTCCCACCATGGAGCAGATCCCTGAGAAGCTCACCGACCCCAAGACAAGGATGCAAGATCGTCATGTTGATATGTTGGTCAACCGTCAGGCAATTGATGTGCTGCGACTCCGAGCAGAGATCACCAAGCACATGCGTGACCACCTCCACTCTAAGCGGTTCTTGGAGTTTCAGACTCCCATCCTGGCTGAGAATGCCGGTGGTGCTGTTGCCCGTCCATTCGTCACCAGGGCTACCGAGTTCAAGGAAAGAGATCTGGCCCTGCGCATCGCTCCCGAGCTGTGGCTCAAGCGCCTGGTCATTGGAGGCGTCGATAGAGTCTTTGAGATTGGACCTGCGTTCCGCAATGAGGGAGTTGATGCTACACACAACCCCGAGTTCACCATGTGTGAGTTCTACAGCGCCTACAGCAACCTCGAGGACTTGATCAACGAGACGGAAGAGATCCTGTGTAGTCTGGCCCAACACTGCCAGGACCTCATCTCTACAAAGCTCACATCACTTCCTCCTATCGACATGAACCGATTTAAACGACCCTTTAAGCGTGTTGAGTTTGTTCCTGCATTGGAAGAAGCTCTTGGTCTCCGCCTGCCCAAGCTTTCCTCTAAGGATGCCTTGCCAGAGATGCTAGCGGTCCTGAAGCTTGCTGGTATCGACGTCCCCGGTGAGGTGCCTAGCTCTTTGTCAAAGCTTCTTGACCGATTAGCCGCCGAGTACTTGGAGCCAATGTCGTTCACGGAGCCCATTCTCATCATGAACCACCCGGCCTGCATGTCACCCCTGGCAAAGAGCTTCCTCTGCCCAAACACATTTCAACTAGTATCTGCTCGCGCAGAGCTATTCATCGGCGGCCGTGAGCTTGCCAACATGTACGAGGAGGAGAACGATCCTGAAGCTCAGAAGCAGAAGCTGCTCGACCACCGAAACCTCGTCAACACAGCTGATGGTGGCGTTGCCATTGAGACGCCAGACACCCAAGAAGGTGAGATGTCTGCTCTCGAGGCGCTAGATGAACCTTTTGAGGACGAAGATGGAGACGCCGCCCCCTTGGATCAGAGCTTTGTGAAGGCTCTCGACTATGGTCTACCACCAACTGGAGGCTGGGGATGTGGCGTCGAGCGTATGGTGATGCTCTTCTCTGGTGCCAACCGTATTAGCGACTGCCTGAGCTTTGGCACTTTGAGAAACGTGGTTGGACTCTCGGCCGCTGAAAAGGCTGCTGCCGCAAGCGAGGAGAAAACTGAAGAGGACTCGTAAGCCCTGAAGCCATTGTATCATATTTAGAGATGTTTCAAGGGTCACGATGTATGAATGACGGACTTTGTATAGTATTGTAGCCATAGCTAGACCTTAGAAAAGGTGGTTGTATAGAAACAACATAGATGTTATCATGAAGCGACGATGGCTGAGGCTGTTGGCTTAATTCCCTTGTATGCTTGAGACACCTACTTCTCCAATCTCTCCCCGTTTCCCTGGCTCCCTCCTGAACTACCCGTTACTCGACTTGGATGTTATTATCACGACTTGACCTGGCAGACTGATTAGCTATTCAAAGACGTCTCATAAATATAACTTGCAAGGAAGCTTATAAATAGCGCATAAGGCTATTTCTTATATAAACAGAAATTTAACTATAATAAAATAATCCGGTGCTATAGTAATCATCTCCTTTCTCTCGTCCGATTAATACATAGTTAGACCAAGTATCCTAGAATTAGTTCCTTAGGCAAGACAGGCACATGACCCCGTTTAAATGCCTCTATCCAAATAGCAAAGAGTCCTAAAGGATGGGTTTCTTTTTGGCTCAATCATCCTTGCATCCTACATCCAACGAAACCACAGATCAAGTCTCTTTCTTCTCTTCCCCAACAGCTTCTTCGGCAGATTCACCGATCCCTCTCACCAACATCTTCCAAACGCTGGCGTCGTGCGGCATCACGTCGACAATGTCCCTAAAGTGTCGTTAGCTGGTGTTCTCTCGGGGGAAACCCGATGCAATCGAGGGCTTACATGTTCTTGTCCCCTCCTTCATGGGGCTGCCGGTTATGGCACCAATCGTCCAAGTCCTTGAGCCGCCCTCCTCCTGACTCGTCATTGCCGAACCGGATGAACTGAATCGCCAGGGACTTTCTGTTCTTTCCCTGATTTTCAAGTTCGTTGGCGATCCTCTTGATTGCACTGGTTACCCCAGCCAAGGGCGTTCCTTTCTTCTTTCCGGATGTCTCCCAAACGCCGTTTGTCAGGATATAGATGGTCATGGGTCGCTGATTCGAGGCATGTGTCTGGACTCCGGGACGCAATCTGTCAGTTATGACCCGGTCAAAAACCGTCTCGAGGCTGTCCTTCATCGCGCAGATGCCCCAGGGTTGCTGGCTCCGGACGATGTCGGTGAAAAATCCGTCCTGTTTCCTCTGGTATCCCATCAGCGGTTCGGAGGTGAAAAATAGGTCCATGCTGCTTTCTTGGCAGTCGCTCAGCAGCCATTCAATGGCTCGGACAGTCTTGGACACGTCGGCCCAGTGCTGCCTCATCGATGCTGAATCGTCAACCAGAAACATCCAGTCACGGCCTCCCAACTCCTGTACCCGTTGAGAGATGGCCGTAGGCCGCCAATGTGGATTCTTCATCTTGGCTTTTGCTCTAGCACCTCGGCTTGTTGTCTCGGTTTCCCTATCGGTTCCGCCTAGGATACTGCTTGAAGTGATGGTTTTGGGAACACCATGGATCCATTGGTTGATGTCATCGACGGTCGTTAACGATTGACCCGAGTCATCAAAACTTTCCTGCCTGACTGGAAGTTTTCCGCTAGCATGACTGCTGGTCGGCTTCGTTACACTCGAGGTTACGGTTGCACTGAAGAAGCCCGAATCCACCTCCGATTCGACTGTCGTAGCCGTCGAAGATGCGACAGATAATCGCTGCGATCGAGTTTCCCACATTATGGGCTCCGCCGGTAAGTCAGCCACCTGCTCCAGGCTTTCCAGAGCGTCCTCCTCGTTAAGGTCAGCAACCGGCAAGACGTCATCATGGAAACGTCGAAAGATCTCCCTTGCACTCCCGGGCTCGTCGACCAGCATATGGGTCCGAATGAAAGTTCGAACAACCGAGGAAACACGATCTAGGTTTTCAACCCTCCCCAACGTTTCTTGACAGTGCCTCAATGATGTTTGCTGCACGACTGCTTGACGGTTAAGTGTTTGACGAAGCTTGTCTCCTCCGTTAAGCCAGAGAAGAGTCTCCGTCAACACATAACCTAGAGCCCATATATCCACCTTACGCCGATCGACTTCAACGTCCAAGATGGCGGTTTTGACCGCCCGGTCACGCCGCATTGTATGAAACCTTGACAGGCCGAAATCCGCCAGCTTGAGCGTTACGCCACCGGCGTCCTGAGGGAACACAAGTATATTCTCAGGCCTCAAATCGCCATGGCAGATCGTAGACTGCTCCATTAGCGACCCAAATAGCAAGTAGTGTAGCCTCTCGATAGCCTTCAGCAGATCAAAAAGCGATTCCCACAATTCAAGAACACGGACAGGTTCTTTTGGTGGCTTCGAATGCTTCCAGAAGTCGCTCAGATTTCCGCCATTGTGCCATTCGAAGATGGTGTAAAACCTGTCGCCTTGTTGAAAGGATGCCACAGGGCTGACAATGTGGCGTGAGCCTCCACGCTCGTTTAATGCCCTGAATAGTGCCGATTCCGCCTGCCACGGGCGAGACCAGGCAGTCATCTTGGTGGCGCCTCTTCTTTGAAGATCAAATGTTTTGCAAGTCTGATTTCCGTCAGGTAGCAGGTCTTGGTAATTGTTGATGTCGTACGTTTTGAAAACCACGGTGCGCTAATCATCGTTAGTATTGTGCAAGCCTGGTTAAGACGAAGTTTGACCTACGTTTGAGCCTTCATCGAGGCAATCTTCATCCAGCTGGACTCTTGTCAGGTGTGAGCAGGAGAAATCTCCTTGATTTGGCTTCGAGAGCGGTTGCTGGTTGACAATGGGGAGAATGGTGTTTGGGTGCACTTTTGTATCGAACGTATTGTCCGAGTTCAAACGCAGAGGGATGAACATCCATTGGTTCTCCCGGAACATTTCCCATACATGCTGGGATCCAGGAAACCACGATGGAAGGTCGATAGCAGGTAGGCACTCATCATGGAAGTTCCGGTCCACAAACCACTGCAAGAGGTCATGCTCACCGATGTACACCAAGCAAGAAAAAACACGAAGATATCGAGCCAGTATCTCGTCGGCCGCCGAGATCTCGTCTCTGGGGTCAAGGCCCAAGCACTCCAAAAGTCGAACCCCCTTCCAGTAAGTCTTGAGCTTGGCATGTGAGATGTACCATGCTTCTTCGCCTTGACCATTCACGCCAGAGCGCTTGTGATCATCAACGAACCGGAAGAAGTCGAGTTGCTCTGCATGACTTGGAGGATCACTGGGAGCAACCTTGGCCGCAAGCCCTGTCTGAGCCTCGATGTCCTGCACAATGTCCTCTAACACGAGGAGATAGGACTCATTCAAGGGCTGACAGCATCCAATGAGCATGCCCACCGGCTTCTGCGTACTGCGCTGTATGACCCAGGATCCGGAGTCGCCCTTCTGCACAGTCCCGACGTTGGCCACCCTTACAGGCTGTGGACTTCCGAAGCCTGGAAGTCCAAAGACTGCATCCGACACGAGGAGCCCATCGAGAGCGGCAGAGGAAGTGAGTATCTTTACGGCATTCACTGGGTCGTTAGTGCCGATCTCACCGTGGCACAGAATTGGTGAGGGTTGGTTCTTGTTCGATATTGCGGCATTTGTGATCTTTATCAGAGCCCAGTCGAGGGCGCCTGGCTCGCTGAACCCTCCCCTTTGAATATCAGAAAGACACAATAGGTGCCCGATAAGAATCTTGTCCTTAGAAAGGTCCGGAGAAGTTGGTGGGGACTCAATTGAGCCTCTTATTGTTGAGGATGGTGTGATGTCGGATGAGACAGCGGCCGTGGGCCATGGTATGTCGGCGTCGAGCAGGTCCTCCACCGAGCAGGTATCTTCTTCAACGTCGTAATATTCAAGAAAGTCCAACTCGGAATCGTCGATTTCAAAAGCATCTGGGATCGGCGGCTGTTGGGGATAAATTGCATGGGCGACAGTCAAGGCGAGATGCTCATCTCCGACGGTGACCATCCCACCGACGGTTGCGCTGCCGACGTATGATTGACCCTTCCATATTTCGATCCTCGTTGCGTTGATGTAGGCTGGAAGTACGCCGCCGGGAATAAAGACTCTGTATTCACTCAGATCATCGTTGGTAGGGAGACTCATTTGAAGACGACCAGGAGCCGTCAGCTGAGGATCAATAGGGAGCCTGAAGCAACGCCACCCTGGATATGCAGCGAGGATCTTACCCTTGAGGATAATATCCTTCAAGCAGTTGCTGAACCACTCAACCGAGCTGATGATAGTGACACACGGGGCCGAGTGTGATGTCGACGCGCCAATGAGGAAGCACCGGATGAGATATGGAGGCTCTTCAAAAGGGCTCACCTCATTAGGCCGACGACTCTGCCACACTGCTCTGTTCTCTGCGATGAGCTTGGAGAGAGTGTCCTGAATCTTGATTGCCGTACAGGCGAGCTCGCCCACTATCCTCCACAGAATGATTTTCCCAAATCTCTTGCTCTCGGTGGTGTGGGCTTGGTCGCCGAAACAGTCGACGTAAGCAGGATCGGTTTCCTTTTCCCCTAACTGGAACAGTCTTTGACGAATTTTTTGACTGCGGGTTTTCAGAGCAGACATACTATTCGGCAATGAAAGCTGTGTTGTTGTCGTCATTGCCGACATGGGGGTGGGATTGGCTTGTGAGCGGCTATAACTCTCAGCATTTGGTTGAAGTTGAGAAAGATGAAGAGTCAGAACACAGCCCCTTTGAAGCGAAGAGGGTAGGATACCAAACCAATCCAGAGCAGTGAGGGAGGCCGCTGGCAAAGTGCAAAGCTCAGGCAAGGGTCTTTTCTGCCTGGGAAAACGCCTCGCTGAAAACGATACACCTCATTGGTAAGTTACCAGGCTGTGCGTGGCAACTCCGCCGTGGCAGTGATGGACGTTTTCCTTCTCTTACTCGCCAGATTTATTACACTTGAAAGCCTGAACACCTTAACAGCAGGTTGAAAATCCCTCAGGCCATGTGTGATCATGTGCAAATGTCTTGGAAGAGAGAACTGACTCCGCACAGCCTGGTCATGAGAGCCTCCATGTGGTTGGGCGATCGTCGTAAGCGCCCAACTAGCATAACGAGGCGCCCTGAAGCTATGCTGCTGGGATGCAGCACTGTGAGGCATGGGTGGGTTCGCCTTGATTTGAGAGATGGGCATCATGGCCTTTGGTTCTCTTAACTCTTAACCAAAACTACAAAACAACTTCGCCCTTGTTTGGTTTCAACGGAGACGTTGGCAGCAACACCAAAACCCGGCAGTATGGCAACACAGCAACAGAGCCCACTTCTTGCACCATGCTTTAATTCTTGTTTACCGCCTCTAGAAACAAAAGAGAGATTTGTGCAAGAGTTGTGGCCTGGCCCCCCCGGAGCCGCCCAAGCAACCGAGACCATCGCCGACTTGAACCCCTATTTCGACCACATACGACATGAGTGCAACCCGACGTTTGAGCAGCGGTATACTATTTCCACCTTTCAAGACGCCATATTTGTCATCAATATTCTCAGAGGAAGCCCTACGGCAACATTTGCAGAAATTCAGACCTCTATTCAGAGAGCCAGGCCTCAGATGATCACCCAAGGCTTATCCATATCGATTGAGCTTGCAGTCCGCCTTTGGCTAATGTCAAATGTCCGAAATGTCATGCCGGCCGACCTGAATCAGCTTCAGACATCGGTGCCATGGCCGGATGATTCCAGTCTCCAATATGTGCTTCAGAAGCACTTTACGGAGCAGACCAACACATCCAGGGGCAAGTTCTCGGAATACCTCAACTTTCATGATATGAAGACAATCGCGGGTATCCGTGTAGAGTGGACAAACAACCTGGCATTTCATCTGACAATGAAAGGCTCAGTCATCTACGTCTTTCACTGTGTCTCGGCATTGAAACGGATGCGCGAGTCGCCTTCAACAACGTGGGACTCTACCCCAGAAGGTTGCAACTTGTGATTTTGGCAACTAATTTATCATGTCAAGGTCATTTCTTCCGCGCGGCATGATCGACGAGACACTCGCAACCATCGATCTCCTTGCTCCGCTGACGAAGCCAGACTGCAACAGCTGGCTTGCAGATGAGATCAGACGAGGCGCCGTGGACAGAAACATCATGCACCGCGACCCACCAAATCTGGACAAGGCTCGCTATCACTTTTGGCAAGAGAAGCTTTCCATCATCGAGGAGGCGTTTGGCAAGGCAAAGCCCACCGGCTTCTTCCAGTGGTGGCATGACCGACGTGACATGCAGCAGTGGTGGGGATTTTGGCTTGTTGTCGCGGGCATATTTCTTACTGTCCTCTTTGGGCTTATTCAATCTGTGACTGGCATACTACAGGTAGCAATGTCAGGTAAATAGGCATCAGGTCGAGGCCCTCCCTCTGCCCCTTTAAGAGCTGAACTCCTTGCAACTTATACTATCAAAAGAGTGCACTGTTATTGAAGGACAATTAGCCCTTGCCGTGGTATTTGCATATGTCTGCTCGTATAGCCTCATAATATATACAAAAAGAATATATACACACAAAATCATGTCAAAACAGCACGCGATGAAACACACAACCCTCCTTTATACCATCTAAGCCACCTGGAACAAGCTGCTGCCCTTTCCGCCAACAGCAAATCCATCAAGCCAGCCAGCAACAACATCCTCAGTCAGCGACTCGGAAAAGTCAAAGTCATCAGGAACCCTCTTAATAGCAACGCTCGAGGATCGCTCATCAAAGATGGTGGCAACCCGGATGAAGCTATCGACAGGACGGTCAAAATAGTCGGAGCTGCCGGCGCCCTTGGCGAGGTGAAAGGTCGACTTGCACTTGGTGTCACCCGAGGCGAGAACCTCGTAAATATCAGCTTCGCCACAGCCGGTGGTCCAGCAGCTGCAGGAGCTATACTGGCCGGTGCGGGGGATGCGGCCGTTGAGGGCCCAGAGGGCGGGCATGTCGCCGTTGAAGCCGCGGTCGCCATCCATGGGCATGTTGAAGTGGAAGAGGAAGATTTTGCTTCCTCCAGAGAAGCCCTCTGTGAGTAAGTTGTTAGTAATTGTGCTCTAGTGAGGGGTGAGATGTCGACATACTGTAAGCCACATCCTGGGCTCGGGAGTAGCCACAACTCTCGTCACACTTCTCGGCGGTCCAGATGGAAAACTCCTTGTTAGAGGGGATATAGACATCCTTCAGGACCTTGGGAGAAGAAGAGCCGCCGCTTCCGTCGGCGTTGAGGTAAGAAAGGGAGTTGCCCCAAATCCTGATAGCATGATTAGTTTGAATACTCGCAAGATACAACACTTGACTTACTCGTCAAAGACTCCAGAGCCATCACCGCCATAGTTGCCGAGAAAGACAATGTTGTCGGCAGCTTGCTGCTCGGCGTTGTAGTAAGAGGTACGCGACCAGGCACCTCCAGTAGCAGCAGTAGTCTTGGTCTTCTTGGGCTTGGATTGGCTGCCGCCGTTGGTCGCGGGCGCCTTGATCGAGGTCTTGGCACTGTTCTTTGCCGGAGCGACCTCCTTTTCAGCTTCAGCCTTGGGAGCAGCAGGCTCCTGGGCAGCCTGAGTAGGAGCGGCAGCAGCAGGGGCAGGGGCAGCCTGTGTAGCAGGGCCAAAGTAGTTGTTCTCCCAGGAGACAACCTGGCCGTCAATGGTGGCAGTGATCCACTCGGCACGCTTCTTCTTGCGCTGCTCGTGGAAGTGTTGGTGACCGTGGCGGCGGGCGTGGACATGAGGAGAGGGAGCGACATCACGTTTCTTGTTGTCAGAGCCGAGGTGGTAGACGGCAAACTCCTTGAGGTTAAAGGGGCCACGGACGTGGACAGAGAGCTAGAGATTGAGAGTTTAGCTTGGTAAGATAGACGGCATAGAGTGACTTACACCCTCGTCAAGTGGCGCAAGAGGACCACTGTAGGGAACATCCTCAGTATCACACTGCTTGTTGTTTCCCATGTTGGTGACGGCCTTGTAACTTCCGCTGCCGGCAAAGCCTTCATACAGGATCTGCTTGACGGCGCCGCAGAAGAAGTTGCCGCCCTCATTGAGAGCATTGCCTGTGCACTGCTGCGTCAAGGCCGAAGCCACGCCAGCCGAGGCCAGCAGGACTGGTGTAGTAAACTTCATCTTTCAAAATTGTATCCTCAGATATGTGTGTGGGTATATAGTTGGGGAGTTTCAGTCGATAGTTGTGGGACTTGTTTCCAAAGTCTTAAAACCGCAGGGCTGGGACAGGAGAAGATATGAGGTGTCTCCAAGACTCGAAACAGACAATAGAAGCCAAAGAGCGATCCAGTCGATCTTAAGGAGTGAATCAAAGACAAAGGAGTGGATGGTGAGAGGTGAGTCTCTTGCTAAAGAGTGATAACGACAAAGATGTTTCGTCCCGGCCTTTGAAAGGAATGGAAACAGAAAAGAGTCCGGGGAGGGTGGCCGTCCCCCCCTTCTTGAGGAAACGGAAGCATGAGCCTGACTACTGAGCTGAGAGATTAAAAGAGCTCTGAAGCGGCCTGGCCAAGGGCTCGGCGCATTTGCCCTCCTCGACCACCACCACCATCCCATCTGGTCGTGACCCCCCTGGGAATGTTGCCGTGATGTGGTTGGACGCCGTCGTTGCCAAGCTTTTTCGGGCCCCGGCCTAGCGAGGGCACCGAGTGACAGATCTTGTACCTGGCATGAATGGGACCAGGGGGACCCCATGAAGCATCACGACTTCGTGGCCTAGGCTCGGTGGTGTGGGTGCGAGCCAATTGTTTCAGGATTCCCAAAACGTCAACCTCTGGCCAATCGAGGGCCCTGGATGACTTGGCCGAGGCGGTCAATTAAAAAAATCAACACCATCATTGTCAGTGCCAGTTGAGCCACTCTTTGGCGCGTAGCCCCAAAACTGCTGACTGTTGTTTCTTGCTGCGCCTTGCCTTGCCCTTCCTTGGCTCACTGGCCATGGCCTGGTTCTGGTTTCGGGCCAAGAGCCTTGGTCGTGTGCCCAGCCGAGTCTTGTCAAATTGCACTCAAGAGTCTTGCGTCGATGAGGATCTGCCCCGACATCCCTTCCTTCACCTCTCCTCGGTCTGGGCTCATCACAAGGGTGTCATAGTGCAGGACACGTCGGAACACGCTCTCAGTCACACACCTTCACTCGAGCTAAAGACTGCAGGAGCAAACTTTTCTCAACCCGGCCGCTGAAACGTGGCAACCCTCCTGCGTTGGGCATCCTTTCCGACGGGACGGCTTACTCGAGAGGGGCTGGGAGGGCATTCTCACCATGCCATGCTGTGTTGTGCGCCTGCCCGGTTTCTGGCAAGACGTTTGCGACGAGACCAACAGCTTCTCACGTAGGCTTACTCTTGGCGGGTCTGGAGAATCCCTCAGATCCTTCAAGCTTCAAATCCCTCAGGTTGCTTGCGTCCATGGTCCAAAGGATCACTCGCCGGATGCAGCCGGTAAAAACGTGAGCGTTGAGGCTGTGAGAAACAAAACCAGAGTGTGGAATGAACATCCACGTGTGTCTCACTTGACTCGGGAGCGCCCATAGAGTTTGTTCCGCCTTGTCGGAAGCGGTGACAACGCATGGTTGCAATTGCCGACATTTAACGCCTCTTGACAACGTTTCTGGTGGACGAGCATGAGAGAATATCCTGTGATTCGTTCTCAGGTTGGGATGAACGGACCCATGGGATGGGTGTTAATCTTGCCCTAGCTGCGGAGCAGCCCAAGGACCGGACCCAGGACCCTTCACAGGTTTGCCCAAGTCGAGTCTCTCCTCTGAACCACTTAACCGTCTTCGTTGACCCGCCTGTTTCCGCCCTGGACCCTTGATGGTCTCGTGGCTAGTCCCGTCAGCTAAGTATGGCGCCAACGACGGTGGTTGACAAGACAGAACAAGCGCATTCATCAGAATGGCGGGAAATGTTCAAATGACGACCAAGGCTATCGACATCACTCTCCGTTAGTCTCCAAAACATCCCTTGCCCGTTTAGGGACAGCCCGTAGACCCAATATGAAGACTTGTCAAGGTGAAATTGGTTGGTCTAGTTTGTTGGTCTTGATTCGTTGCGCCAAGATATTCTTCATTTTGTATTTCCGAATCAAGAGCAAGCACAATAGCTTGTCCAAAATCGGTTGCTATGTTAATGTATCGGTTCTCCATATGCTGCGCTGCGTTGTTGCGTCTTGAGCATAGCTTATATGCGCTGCATCCGTTTTCGTTTCTAACGGTAACGCTTCTCGACTCAGTCGTCGATACCACCCCCTTCGCCATCACTGTCTCCGCTGTCTTCTTCCTTTTCCTGCATCTTCCTCTTCTTGCTCCCTTCAATAGCGCCTTGGCGGTTGTGCTCCTTGCGCCTCTCGTAGCCACTCTTGGACGTAATCTTGGCCTTGTTGCCGCTTCGTCGAGCTTCCACTCCCCGTTCCTTGAGCTTCTTTCGGTCTGCCTTGGCAACGTTGGGCAGGGCGTCCAGTAACCACTTCTGCACTCCAGCCTCATCGCCCGTCTTGCCAGCTTGCTTCTCGCTTGCCGCAATCACGTTGGCCACCATCTTCACAAAGGGGATATCCTCCTTGGTGTAAAAAGTTACTGCAACACCTCCTTCACGACCAGCTCGGCCTGTTCGTCCAGCACGATGGACATAACCGGCGCTCGATCCGGGCACATCGTAGTTTACCACTCCGTTCACACCGGCAAAGTCAACTCCACGCGCCAAAACGTCAGTGGTGATCAAGACCCAAATCTCACCACCACGGAACTTGCGCATGATTGCTGAGCGGGCCTTGTCAGTCAAGCCACTGTGTAGCGCAGCGATTCTAGCGGCGCCGCCAGCTTCGAGGGGAATATCGTATTTCAACTCTTCGTGTAACGCAGTGGCTCTGTCGATAGTCTGAGTGAAGACAAGGAACGGAGGCCGAAGGGGAGGTCCCGAGTCAATGCTCGACGTGGGGTGCAGTAGCTGGCGCAGAGCAAGTAGTTTACCCTGTTCCGTCGCCGTGTATATGAGCTTATGGGTGATGTTTGGCACAGCTGTGTCCTTCAATCCCACAACCAGTCTGACCAGTGGCTTGGGCGTAATACCCAGTGCTTGAGCCCTTGAAGTCAACTTCTCAGTAACCAGAGACTCGATGTTAGATCCCATGGTAGCAGACCAGAATGAAAGTCGCAGGTCGGGACTCGTGCACGCCGTCCAAACAGCCAGCATAGCTTCTCGGAACAGAGGGTCGAGGAGGACATCAGCCTCGTCCAGGACCAAGTCTCGTACCGTCGGTAAGACTCTGTGAGTGTTTGAGGGACCGGATGTGAGAAAGTTGAGTAGAAGAAGAGGCGTTGTGACCAGGACGTCGGCTTTGATGGCTGGCTTTGACTTTTCGTCTGCATCCTTCTCATCCTCGGACTCGGATTCCTTGTCATCCTCCTCATCCTCAGAACTATCTTCGGACATATTCACTTGCTCAGCTGATAGTTGAGTGCCCTTCTTCATAGAGACAATCTTCAACCCCGTCCCATGAGCGAGCTTCTGGCCTTCGCTGACGATTTGATGCACCAGCTCTCGAGTTGGCGCAACAATGACTGCCTCGAGTTCATGAATATCGTGTAGATCCTTCTTTGATCGCCTGCGCATGATGTTGTTGATGGTTGGGATAAGGAAGCTGATGGTCTTGCCGCTTCCAGTAGGGGCGATGGCGAGGAAATCAACACCACCGTCCAGTCCATCCTCTCCCTTCAAAGCCACCTCGGGGTGTAGAAGAAGAGGCAGACTGCCCATCTGAACTTCGGTCGGCACACGGTAACCCTGGAAGACGAGGTTCTCGGCAACCCTGCGAGAGATACCATAGGCGTTGCGGAGCTCGCCAAACGAGTCCAATGGCTGTGGGAAGAGCTGCTTCTTGGTATCCTTCTTCACCTCGACGGCCGCCTTCTTCTTTTTCTTCTTGGGCTTCTTGACCTTGGACTGATCCTCAGTCTTCGAAAGAAGAGTAATTTTTAGCCGGTGTGATCGTAGCAGCTGTCGACACTCATCCTCGCTCAGCAGCTGTGATGCGCGTACAGGACTGGGAGCTCGGTCGGTCTCTTCTGTCTCGGGCTGAGGTTTAGGCGCGGGTTCGGCCTTGGGGGCGAAGAAGTCGACTTCCGGCAGCTCGTCATGGGCCTCGGCTTTGGGTTCGTCGCGAGTTCGCTTGCGCTTCTGTCCGCGAACCTCATCATGGAAGAGTTGAGGGTTGGTGGTTGTTCCAGCAGATGGAAGTTTCGACTTGGCGTTGTTGCCGCTGAGACCGACCTTGGTGGTCTTTTTGGTCCCGCGCGATAGGACTTTGAGAATATCCATTGCAAGTAGGAAACGCCTTTGGTGATGGCGAGTGACGATTCGCGCAAGTTGAAGAAAAAGTCCAATGTCGAGAATTGGAACAGAAATTTTGGTGGACCCTTGACGGAACAAACTGAGAGCTTCGGGTAGTGGGGTGTGGGGGCTGGTGTGGCTGGTGAACCTCGAGTTTTCACGCCACAGCTTGCATCACCAGCCACAGACGATGAGACAAGTCAACGGGCACTAGACTTGGAGCGACGGGACCCTCCGAGTTCATCAACATCAACGACGGTTGAAGATGGTTCATGGCGCACCAGGAACGTTTAACATCCTGCTTCGAGAAGACAGCTGGCCAATGAAATCGCCCCTTTTCTTGGAAGCCTGAGGTCATGATCGATTAGTGTCGATCACCGTCATAACTTCTCCAACTTGATGGCGGATTACATCCAAGACTGACGTCACACCAGTCTCCAAGAGGTCCAGCAATCAGGATTTGGACACTGAGAATCATGGACTGACGAATACCATGCGTATGAGCTTGGCTCTGAGGTGTTTGTTCTTTTATAAACTTGCTGACCCTCTTGAATTGCGATTTGCACTGGTGATCTTGAACCTTCCCAACTCATTTCATCGACGATAGCTTCACATTCACTCAAACAACACCGCCATCATGCCTACTATGCTCGGACTCACAACCGACCCGTCGCCTAACGGGCTCAATAGCAAAGAGGGCAAATTCGGCGAGCGCTCCAGCAGCCGCGACATGGAGCTCGTGCCCCAACAGAACGGCAGCCTGACTTCGGGCATCGAGAACTCGGACTTTTTCAACGGCGGCAAGCAAAAGGAGCACTCTGACGACGAAGAGTCGGACGATGAGAAGCTCAACACCATCAAGGCCCGCAACCACGCCGCCGCCAAGGAGATGGAGACGCTGCTGTGGCGCGCCCTGTGCGACAAGCCCAAGAGCGCCCTCAAGTACATTGGCAAGGACGCCGTCATCTCCAACCGCTTCCTGTTTGGCGACCCTGAGCCGCGCACCGCCGAGTCGGACCCGCCGCTGGAGGAAGAGATCAGACACTGCGAGGAGTGGCTCGCCTACAAGATGCACGACCCCCAGGTGGTAGAGATTGGTCTCATGGCAGCCGCCATCGCTTACAAAGTCACCCTGTTCCGCCAGATTGACAATGGGAATGGTCAGTACGGGATGCAGACGGTCGAGGCTACCTGCTCGAGCTCCTGGAGGCAGGTTGCGAGTGGAGACTGGGAGCTTTGCAGCATGTTTGCCAGTTAGAGATGGATAGCTAGCGGGGTATTACAGGCGTTTACGTGTATGGAGTAATGGCTTATCAAGCTGATTGGATTTCATAAGGGAACTTGTTTGATTTAATAAGGAATGTAACCATCTTCAACAACTTCAACCAATCTTGACGCATCATACTTATCACCTAGATGTTGCATCTCTTCACCCCAGCCAATCTAGCCACTCAGGCTTAAAGGTCCCCTCCTCCTCATATAACACAAGAGATCCTGCAATTGCAGCGATTGTCCCTAGGAGATTAATCAGAGATGCGAAAGTCGTGAGTGCCTCCCTTTGCCTTCGACTTTGGTTTGGAAATATAAAAAATGACGAATCCACCAAGAGATGAACTCCTGCGAAAGAAAACAATAAGCCGCAGTACACTCCACCGAAGGGATCCGCGAAAGGGAAGCCGAGGGAGTAGCATACGCCGCCAAGCGGCTGGAGCAGTAAGAACATGATCATCACGGGTATCGGGCCTGTACGTTCCAAGTAGTCGACCGTTTGTCGAAGATACTCGGCTGATCGAAGTAGTTCTTTTGGATCCAACGACTCTTTCGAAGGGCCACAGTGAGATATTATGACGGCCAGCTGGACCACGATCCACCCCCCTATGTAGGACCAGGAGATGATCTGGAAATGCCCTGGGACGACCGAGGCGATAAGCTTGATAGCAATGACTACCACGGAGAGCAGTGTGATAACGTCGAGAGCCATCTCAGTATGACCCCGTTGAGGGACTGGTCCAACGAGCTGTGGATCGGTATCCTGTGGCCGTAGTGCAGTGTGGCTGCGAAGAAAGAGTAGACCGGCCGCACCGGCGTTCAAATTGGTGACAAACACTGCAAAGTCCCTATAAAGGTTCCCGTGGCATGACCTAATGGCTCTCCAAAGAATGAGCACGAGCGCGTGCAAGATGCTAGCCGCCTCGGCAACACACACCACAGGGTTGAGGCGTAGGAAAAAGAACAAGATTCGGCCAAAGACATTGGATGGTTTCTTGAAAATCAAGTTGCCTTGAGGCTGCAATAGCAGACACGTGCTCAAAGCGAGCAGCATCCCAAACATGCTAGCTGCTGAAAAGGTTGACTCATCTTGGGTGTCGCTTTTCGGCGCTCGCTCCTCTAACATGGTGTTGAGAAACTCTGTCATGGAAGAAAAGTCTGGTGAAGACTAAGAGAATACAGTTAATCTTGATTATAGTTGAAAAGTTTTAGTTGTCGAGGTATCCTATCAAGAACAAGTTATTGTTAAATACAGAGTGCGGCCTCTGCCCTGGTCGCCTTGCGCCACAATAGCCTGCCTTGGGCTAAGGCATAACTGCAGAATGAGGCTGTGTCGAGTTCTTTGCCTTGCCAAGACCATGCATTTGTTTTCTCTTTCCTCTCTCCTCCCTATTTCCATTCAACTCCAATCATAGATCGTCAGGAGCAGAAATCAGCCGCTGCGCAGTTTGCACTCCGGGGGACAGACCCTTGAGCGCTGAAGCAAGCTCATCAGCAGCCTGATGTAGAGCCTCGTCTGAGAGAGGCTCCAACGCATCCAGAATAAACAGTACCCGTGTGGTATCGTCAGTCAAAGCAGTTCTTGGACCTTGTCTCCAGTTCCAGCGACGGCAGGTGATGCCCGTATCGTCGCACCAGATGGGCTCCCCAGGTGAAGCGAGCTCTGACTGAGGCTCTCCGCCAGAAAAGGTCCGAAACTCTTCTGTGCCTGTCGCTCGTACAAGGAATGGTGATCCATCATACTTGTCAAGATCTTCTCCGCCCAGAGGGATCTGATGCTTGACAGAGATGGCGTTGTAGATGTCAGTCAACCGGTTGACACGAGGGAGACCAGCTTCGACACGACGTGTAAGAGCCTCTAGACTATTACGGGTCTTTTGCGGCTTAGCCCCGAAGCCCTTATACGCGGCTCTCCAGGCGGCGATGTGAGGGATCTCGGTGACGGGGTGCTTAGCCAGAAGCCCCTTGGCTGTCTTCTCGGCCTCTTGGAGGAGGGCTTCGCTGGCGGCGTCACTAGGGCCCGGGGGAATGCCTTCGACAACTAGCAAGAGAACTCGGTAGTCGGGCCGTAGCTTGAAGATTTCTGGGGCAACGCGAGCGGCTTGTAAGAGGCTCTGCGCGATCTGTGTTCCGCTCATGGTGATGGAGTGACGACGTTTCGTGATCTAGTGGTGGAAGATGAGAAGGGTGCAACATAAGAAAAGCACGAACATGCGGGGTCTTTCTCGATAAGGTGTTATAAAGTGATTTTCAGTTATACACGTAACATGGGAGTTATGTGATCAAGGTGAATCAATAGTGGCTAGACTCGGCTGGTTAACGTAACACGATCCTTATGTCAACTGCCTTGTAGAACTGATAACATACGGCTAGGAAAACCTTAGTGTTATCATTGCCTTGAGCTCGTTTTTACACAAAATAGGCAAGGGAATAAAAAGAAAGATTGATAGGCATTTACTAATGATAACGCCAATTGTATGCCCAAGATCAACCGCTTCAAGGGGGATAATTCCCCGTGTTACTTGAGCGGTTCAATGATAATCTCGAAGCTAGGCTTCGGTCCGCCTTTTGAGGCAATCTCATCCTCCCAACTTCTCATCATCTCCCCGAATCTCCACTGATGCAACTTGAACCTCTCTTGGTCACAGGCTGTCCTTGAAAACCCCTTGCGCTTCACAGCTCCCTCCAGACACAGGCGAAGTCCGCGGGGTCGCTTCAGGGGCAGGGCTTCGACTAGCTCATCAAAGGACATGGTGAAGAAGTGTCTCGGTGGGCTCCAGCTTGACACTGGCTCTTCTTCATCGTTGTACACGGTGTAGTCGATGTTAAAGTCGTTTGTAGACGCGGTAATGTTGTCAGTCTCGGTGCTGGTAGTGTTGGCTAGACACTCATTGACAGAAGAGTTCAAATCGCTTTGATGGGATTCTCGTCGCTCCATTTCAACGTTAAGTTGCTCTCGCCCCTGGCGTGGCTCTTGTTCTCGTCCAGGAGAAGTTTGCAGCTCAAAGTCTGGTTCATCTTCTGGTTGGAAGTCTGGTTCTGGGAGGCTTCCGTCTTCTAGGTCCGGCATGACGCGCATTGTAATACTTCTCAATCGTTGCCGAATAGCGTGTTCAGCATCACAGTCAAATATCCTGTTGGGGTCTTCAGGAGAGCCATCGAAAGGATCATCACTGGCATTGCGCCGAGAACTGTCGGTGTCATGGTGGTTCTCCACAGACTCCAGAGCCATCACCGCCACAGGAGCAGAGGCCGACGGCTGTGTGTCTCTCAAAAAGACTCCGCGATTTCTTTGTCGCCTTTTTTTCGAATTGTCCGCGTAAGGCACGAGACGTTCTAGGCATTCCTTCCCCATAATGTAGCCTTGGCGATGGAGTGGCTGCCACACTCTACCCGAGGTTAAGGTGAGTTCTTCCGGCCGAGTCGGTGTGGAAGATTCGGCTGCGTAACTTTCTGTCTCATTTGGGTGTTCTTGGTTGAGCCTGGGTGCCTTTTCTTGTCTATCGTTATCCTCGAATTGGGGAGGTGCAGGGCGTTTTCCATGAGCATTGGTCTGACGAGGAGTTAGCCCCGTAATCGAGCCTGTCCGCACAAGAAACTCACTGAAGATGCAGATACTTCTGGAGCGTTAGATTCTTCGTGCATGTCTTCCATGGGCGGCACATCTTCTGTCTGCGTGTGAGGGGGCGGGCTCGGTTGCAGGATGGGACCGTCAGAGGTCGATCGCTCAGGGGGATGGTTCAGTGCTTGGGAGACACTTTTTGGTGCAGAATAGGGTTCGGTTGATTCACTAAGAAGAGTCAGAAAATAACTAAGGGGGTGTCGTGAACCAACCACTCACTCCTGAGACAGAACAACGTGATGATCATGGGCAGAAGTACCAGGTCCATTGCCTCTCAGGGCATCATAGTCCTCTAAATCGATGGGCGTTTCTCTAGTTGATCCCTCTGGATAAGACCTTCTAGGCATTGACTCGGGGGTATCTACAGAGGCCAGCTTGTTGGGAGTCTTTCGGGACCTTTCTTTGGATGTCTTTTCGGGCGTCTTTCGCTGGCATAGCTCGTTTTGTCGAAAAAAGAGCTGCGCCAGTAGGATTAAGAGTCTAAGAGAGAAACCAGGTAAGTACCTACACCGAAAAACAGAACAATTCTAGATCGACTCACTGGGCATGATCCTTCTCGTACTGAAGGCGCTGGGTGATCGGACTGTCAGGCCAAAACTCACGCCCGTGTTTCTCGAGAAACCTTCTCGCCATGTCGGAGAAGACCTTCTTATGAAGGCTGTCGCTCCATCTCGTAAACGTGGGCCCGGGGTGACCGTCCTCAGCGATAAACTCGGACGCGAAGTGCTTAACGGCCTTCTTGAAGGCTCTGGATTGGTCGAATTCACCCCTTCCGAACCCAAGAATCTCGCGGAGGTCTGTGACAGTCCGTATGTTTTTGGTCTTGATACTTTCGAGGCCTGGTCCGTTCGGGAGGTTGTTGCTGTTATCATCTGTCTCCATGATGGCGGTCATCAACAGAGTTGGAGTCGAGGGTAGACTCTTCAGGTGGGATATCTGTAGAGGCACGGCGACCACGTGATCAACTCAATATAAGTGACTAAAATCCAGAAGCAAGTAGGGATATCGTTGCTTGAAAAGAGAAGGTGCGAGATGGTGGGTGCGTTTATTCAGTTTCTGAGAGTGTGGAAACTGGCAGAAGGCAAGGCATTAGTCACGGCAAAGTCTGCCTAGACCATGGCCAAGTTTAAGTCACTCTGCAGTCAATACTCGAGCCATGAACAGGCCTTGTGGTTGCTTTTTGCTGAGCCTTGATCTGTTGTTGATGTTGGCCCGATATCCGGCCATGGCTGAGTCTTTGATCAAGACGTGTTTTTTTTTTCTGTCTTGGCCGTTTGTAGGCTCATCAGTTGTATGATAGAAAGCCCTAGGTTAATAAAATTTGCGAGATTTATCTTTAAGTAATTTCTTATCTTTAAAGCTACTCATCAGTTGTAAATTTGAAGTAGTTTCCAGGTTGACCCTAACTAGTACCGTGTTGAGTCTCACCCCTAAGCGCCCAGCGGCCACTGCTAGGTGGCCGAGGCATTGCAGACAATCCCACATACCTGAAACATAACCTTCTTACCGATGACTTAAAAAGTGTTGTGAGGCGTCTTCGGATGGCCGAGCGGCCTGCATTCCCTTGCTAACACGGGTCGCGAGGCAGTTCAGCCCTTGAAGGGGCAGAGATTGGTTCAGTAGATTATTCATCTGGCCTGCACCCTAACATGTCGATCAACGAAACTCTTGGAATAGAATAGAATACAACAACTTTATTTCTCTAGTTGTTTTGCGAGGTCGAAAGTAAACAATTCGCGTCTTGGCAGTTAGGGTTACATCCCCTCTACATAGCTAGTCCAGGGTTCAACTTGCAACAACTACATTCAGACAATGCGGCACTCTTCAGAGAGGCTCTCGCTGTAACGCCCTATAAGTACTGAATCTCGAGGGAAAAAAATTCAGCACCAAATTGCTAACATTCCTCCCCATGTCCACCCGTCATCCGCTCTGCTTAAGCGCGCTCTTCTCCATTCATCTCGACCATGCGCTGTGTGACGGTAGTAGTCTTGTGGAAGCGGAATGGCTTAATCTTTCGCTCAAAGAGTTCATCCAGCTCGGCAGCCGATCGTCTGAATTATTGTCAGCGTAATTCATAGCCTCACAGTAGTGACGAGGACAACGAAAGGAGAGTTGAACATACCCCTTAGTCTCTGGGATCAAGAACCACATGCCAACAGTAAAAGGGGCGCCCAGGCCAACGTACAGCCAAGCGGTCTTGAGGCCCCAGTTCCATTCCTCGGCATTGATCATGTACGGAAGAACAGTACCGATAACAGTCCCTACCACACATGTAGAGGCAGCGGCAAAGCCAGCCGTGTAAGGACGAAGGCGTTGGGATGAGATTTCTCCAACGAAGCCCCAGCCAGTCGCACCGTTTGCCACCAGACCAACATCTGTAAGTTCAAATGTATTAATAGGTAGCCTTACAACACTCTCAAGAGACAATGCTTACTCCAGAGGACAGAAAAGAACACCATGGCATTATAAGTGGCCGTGCTTGAGGGAACCACTCCAAGGATGCCAACTATCACACAACAACCCCAGCTAAGGCTAGTATTAGCATCTATTCAGGATGTAAGTGACACCAAAACTCACCATATTGTACTTCCGTAACAAGCCATCCAGCGACGGCCAGTAGCATCAGCGAGGTAAATAACGACAATGCTGAAGAAGATGTTGATACCCGAGGTCATGCAGGTGATCTTGAAAGGATCCTTGAGGCCGGCCTGCTGAAAGAAGTAAGTGGCATAGCTAGCAAAGATGCCCAAGCCGATGAGTTGTTGTGTCATCAAAGTCCAGGCCGAAATCATGGTGCGCAGGCCGTCCTGGCCCCTGAAGATATTGTACCACTTTTCACGGCTCTGCTCAGCCGCAATGGCACGCTCATGTTCGACATTGATGAGGAGAAGGTTATACTGGTGGTCCACGTCGTAGTCCTTGATGTCCCAGTGAAGCCTATGCAGCATCTTCTTGGCCTCCTTTTCCTTGCCCTTTGACGCGCACCAGGCCGGGGACTCGGGCACCAACAGGTAGATGATGATCATCAAGCCGATTTGAGACCATTGCGTGTATATAGGGGTTAGATAATTATCAGGCTCCTTTTCCAACATGACCTGCAAGGCCACAGGGGCAAAGAACTGGCCGGCAGAAAACCACAAGCTATAGCACATGAGCATAGCACCGCGGATGCGAACAGGAGCCACCTCGGATAGATAGGTAGGGATAGTAGTCTGGAGACAGCCGACGCCAATGCCGCCAAAGAGCTTCGCCACGAGCCAAACTTTCCAGTTCTTAGCCACGCACTCGAGGATGATGCTGATGGTGAGAAGAAACCACAGCCAGTACATGGCAAACTTCCTGCCAAGTCGTGAGGAAAGAAAGGTCAGTGAGACCATGCCGATGATCTGTCCGACGGCTCCAATGGCGTTCCAGGCGCTGAGCACGCTTGAAACTAGGTACTTGTCGCCGTTCTCATTGGTGCCTGTCCCAAATTGCTTAACAAAGCCTGAGTTGGCGATAATGTTTCCCATTATACTGCCAGTTATGTCAGCCATGTACCCAAGTAAGCAGCCAACATCCACTGAGTTTAAGTGAGGTTCACGAACCCGATCTGGTATCCATCTGTCGCCGCACTCAGAGTCACCATGAAGCAGATCAACGTGTTGACCTTGAACTTCTTGACCGTCTCCCAGAGGGTGAGGGTCTCGTAGCCACTCACGCCCTGGCCGGCGGCCGCTGCCTCGGAGCTCAGCGTCTTCTCTTTCGTGGTGACGACATCATTGTCCACATGTTCGACTGGGACTGGCTTTTCGTCCACTTTCTCAGAAGTGGCCATGTTGTGATCCTGGGGGTGGCAGAGGTGGACTGCAGACGTGAAGACGAGACAATGCAAGGTGAAGATGGAAGTAGCCCTTGTGAGTTGGGATGCAAGATAGATACTGGATACAACTCTCGAGATGAACTAGAGCACCTCTTTATATAACCAAGCCCTCGGTTTAATGTAGAGCGCAGACATCGGACTAGCATCCATCCATGGGCAGTCATTGTTTCCATCTGTACTAACCTCACCAACAGCCGACCCACGCTACAAGGCTTGGTATGCAGGATTATTTAGCCTGAAAGGGGGAGAACTATAGCCCTTGTAGGTACATCTGGGGATTAAACTTGAGATCCCCTCGCTTGGAACATGGTGAATGAGACTCGTGGCATAAGCTCTCTTTTGCCTAGAGCCATCTTACCGGGCCCAAATTTTGTGCTTTGTGTAAGAGTATTGTAAAAGCATTCAAGAGCATTTTCAATTTCTTCTGATAGAGCTTAACTCTATAATCAACGACGAAGCTTTCGCAAGACATGTCATGAGCAAGGGCCATGACACACTTGGGCGGGTTGACAATGTCGTTAATGCAACGGCGATCCTCTACTTCGAGTTTCAATAACCTCACCTCAGTGGCACCATCCTCGCGGGGTTAGATACGCCAAGGTTACATGCACTACAATGTTTGTCCGGGGTCCCCATCTGGGAACTCCATCTGGGGCATCAAGATGGGATTGTTCTGCGGGGGGTTGGCAATTGTCGTATTCAACCCGACAAATAGCCCTCTACGCGTATCATTCACGGCACACAATTGCACGAAAAGCCGAAAATGTCCAAGTTTCTCGGTCAAACACCTCGCTGATCATTTCAAATCTCGGGTAAATAAACATCGAAACGCTCTTGGTATTTCAAGTACTAAATATCTCCCCAGACAGTCCAGGTACATGTCCCTAATATACTCCCTCCCTATCAAACAACGATCTTAGAAGCAATTCAAGCATCATTGTTCTCCAATCGCCTTATCGGCCTGATTATAAGCTCATAGTCCAAACGAGACCCGTCCAGCTTAGCTTCTTGCATCTCCTGCTTTATAGTCGTGAGATAAATCTCCTTGACGTTCTTGTACTTGACCTCGTTGTACAGAAAGACCTGGTACTGTTCAGGCCGCTTCCCCATCAACGTGATGCATAGGCCCCTGAGGGAGTGCTTGTTCTCCATGGGCAGCTCGTCAACCAGCTCTCTCATGGAGCCTTTGAAGAAGTCACGCTCGTGGTAGTTCCACATCACGGGCCGCATCTCGGTTTGATACACGGTAAAGGCAAAGGTAGGGTCTGGGTCGGACGTGGCATCTCTGGTTGGCTGGTGCGTGAGAGTGTCCTCGACTTGAGGTGCCTCAGATTGCTGTTTCCCCTTGACCACAGGAACAGATTGCTCTGGCTCTTCAGAATGAGATTGGCTTCGAGTCTTGCCTTCGGTGTCATCACCCTCGAGCCGGGTTGATGACACATTGTCCTGAGGTGAACCCTCCCTAAGGTGAGTTTGGACCTTGGGGGGTTCGTCAAGGGGAGCATCCTCGAAGGGGTCCATCTCTGGTTGCTTCCGAGATGCCTCAGCTTCTTGCTCTGGCTCTGGAGCCGGTGCATCTGACATGAGAGCAAGAGGTGCTTTGGTGGGGGAGTCGATCGCTGCAGACCTTCGAGCCAGCGCCTCTCTGTGAGCATCTTCACCGAGTTCAGGGCTCCCTTGGTGAGACATAGGTCCAGGCAAGCCATCAACGCCGTCCAGACCATCAGGGAGGACATAGTCATATAGCCGAGCCTGTCTCGTCTCTGCCTCAGAGGTGTTATTGTTTTTCATTCGGCCTGCCCAGGAGTGTGACAGAGGTTCATCGTCATCATCGCTAGAGCACTCAGTCGCGGGCATAGCATAGCCTTGTTCTAGTCGAGGGCTCTTGGTCCGACGAGCTGGCTCTTCAAGCTCGGTCTCTGCTGGTCTCTTTTCACCTTGCGTGATCTATTGATTGGTTAGTTTATTCGTCAACGTATCATTGCCAACGTGGAAATCACTTACAGGGGGCGCAACTGTCTCTGGGCTGTTGGGGATGTCGTATGGGTCTTGAGCAGGCACGGCATCTGTCTCCTCAGGAGCCATCGTTTGTGTCCGCTCTCTTGGTGCGCGTTTGGGCGTGTCAAGGTACCATTCGTCGATTCCATCATCCACCGTTGCGCACGGGGGTGCCATGGGCGCAGCGGACAACTCTGGTGAAGGGAAGTCAGGGTCACTATCGATGATCAGTCATGGCACGACGTAGACAGTAGTTACCGGGTAACTCACTGTAGGTATTTGAGGGTTCTCGGGCCTTCATCATCACTGAATCCATCATCATCGAAGGGATCAAAGTCTGGCAGCCCATCCACGTCAATGGGGCTATCCAAGCTTGACCCTTGATCTCGTGGAATGTGACTTGTTCTCAAGATGTGAGAGTCTGGAGTCTCTAAGCTGCTGGGCCGTTGCTGGGCAGTCTGTTGTTGAGAGGCATTGGTGGGGGTGGTGGGAAGCAGGGTGACAGGATACGCTGGGTTGATCCTATGCTTCTGGTTGTTCATAAGGATCTGGTTACGACGGAAGGCCAGTGGCATCAAGAGATCGCAGATCCTATAGTATGTCCATATCAGCTTCTTTCTATGCTAGTAGTAGTCTCTCATCATGGCCACTCACTTCTTACGGTCTTTAGAGAAACAGTATCCCTTCTTGTTCGCAGGAGAAGGCTGGTCGGGCCAGAAGTGGGAACCCCGTTCGGCCTCGTGAAGGAACGAGGTGGCCAGCTGCCGAAAGATGTCCTGATTGAATTGGACCGACCACTGAGTGAGTGCGATCCTCTGGAGGTTCTTCTTGGCCAAGAACTTGTCGGTGAAAGACTTGAGAGTGTCGTCAAACTCTCGAATGAGGGCCCTGTCTGGGGCAGGGTTCTGACCAGCAAGTCCGAGATCTGTGAGGAGCTCTGCAACTCTAGGAAGTCTCTTCTTGCATCGTCTGCTGGACCGACGTGCCTTCCTAACGTGCTCGGGGAGATCCATGTTGACAAGTGGGAGATGATATTGAGTGGATTAGGGAGTAAACGTCTGTGAATATGGAGAGTTGATTGAGTGTTCTACTACAAACAAAAGAGAAGGAATAAAATAAAAAGAGGTTGGGGATGATAGGAAGCAGTTACCAGAGGGAGAGGGCGCCTTCAGCGTGAATCTTGGCTATGCATCCCACGCGGTCAAGACCGACGCAGGGGGTTTATTACTCGAAGTGTACCAAGTAGCTACAGGGTTTCATGTCGACGCGAAGATCCCCCCTTCAGCTGCGGCACAAGTTATCTCGGCATCTGGGAGGTGTGGCAAGTCTGCCTTGCGCGCGTATCTGGGTGTTGTATGGGGGGTGTGGATTTTGGTGTTGGTGTTGTTGGCCCGAAACCCCGGCCATGGCGGAGTCAAGGCAGTGAAGCAATTGCGACATACATGACTCAACGAGCCTTCTCTCCTGACACTCTTTTAGAGTTTAGACCTCTGTCACATTGTGAGCCCGTTGAATCCTTGAAAAGTTGCCTTGGGCTGTGGTTCATGGGGTGATGGCGGAGTGGATTGTTTGCCTTTGTTGGTCCCAGGAGAGTGGTTCGCCTTGCCGCGCCGCAGCAATGACCATCAAGGAGCCCGCAGGAGAGAAAAAAATCCTGAAGACACTCAGCAATCTTTTCTTCTTTCAGGTGAGTTGTCCAAGCGCAAGTGAAGATGGTGGTGGTGTCCGGGGACGCCGAGTTACTGGATGACACGCCCGCGCGCTGAGGTCCAGCCCTCACCCAGACTCATATTTCCTCTTTTCTCTCGACAATGTCTCTTGTCTCTCGAAGATTCTTCTTCTCGGATGCTTCGACATGCATATCCGGCGGCAGCCACACGCGGCTCCCCTGCGATGCACGATGGGGGAATTGCACATCGCCGATTGAGGGCGTCTCTCACCGCGAACGACAGATCAAGACACTGCGATCTAACGCAACTGCGACCAACTTCCAATGATCAATGGCCACGTATATAGAGAATTCAATCAGAGCTGTTCGAGAACCGTGAGACTGGTCAGAGCGCAGTCCCCCCCGTTGGAAGGACTGTTGATACCACCACAACTGTGTTGAGTAGCCCCGAGAACCACCCTGTACTGATGCGACAGCTGCTTGCGCGTATGATCAAATGAAACTGGTTTCTAATTGCGGAAATTTGGGGGATGAGAGATGATGACTCTTGGTCAAAAGGGGTTGATGACTTCTGCAGATGTCGAACATCATGGAGGGAGTTCACTAAGTGCAGGTGAGGGAAACAACAGATGGCTTGTTTCTTGCGGGAAATGTGTATGTTAGAAGAGTTGTAAACTGATCAACGTAGTCATAGTGCGTCTTAGAGTCTAGTAGTGTTAGTTGTAGTTAACATAACTGCTTCTTATGATTACTCTAAGTACTCGCTCTCTTAAACCCTCACACCTTATCATACTAAATTCTTATAAGGGCAAGATAGGTAGGTAGTAGTAATCCTTGTTCTCAGCTCGTTTTGGAAAAGTGGATCCCTTTTTCCAGTTTTTTTTAAACCCCTAGGCGTTCTTGGTTGTTTTATGCTGTTGGTTGAGTTACCCATGCAACATGCTCCGAATTGGGCAACATACCAAAGTCACAGCCATGTCACCATTGTTTTTTTGCTCACGGTGCGTAGTCTTGATACTCATCTCATCCCATGAGTAAAACGGTTCAAGAGACTAGGTCAATTCGTAGGAGCTGTAGACAAGTTAATCTTTCCAGTTGTGAGCTTTCAGCCAAGTTGCTCGACCAACTGGACACTTCCGACGAAACAACTCTGTCATCGGTTCACGTTGATACTTGCATCGCACCCATGTCTTGTTATAAAACTTGTTCAAAAAAGAAAAACTATTGCGCACGAGTCCTGCCCAGATCCTCAATGTCACCCATCAGTACCCCCATTCACAACTTACAAGGGGTGCAGGCAGCGAGCTCGACCAGCACGACCAAGAGATTTTGGGAACTCTCGACCTCTGTCCAACACTTCCTGTTCTCTCTATCTTTTCCTTTGCCATTCCTCTCTATTCCTTCTGGAACAATCCCCTGCATTGTTGGTTGTGCAGAGACATAGGGGCTGTCCTCGTGCTTTACCCTCATTGTCCATTGTTCACGACTATAAATACTGTTCCCATTCTTTTGCACGTCCGCAACTCCTATGCCATGGACCAGGCAACTCGCCCCCAAAAGCCATCCAAGGCAGGTGAACGAGTCTTCAAGACAAAGACTTGCAACATCCCCAGTCTCACCGAGCTCCGCAAGTCGCTCGGTTACGGGCACAGAGGGGAAGAGCAAGATATCGCCTTCAAGAGAGCCCTCACAGCCCAAGTTGAAACCTTTGTTTCCAGAGACAACCTCCCCGGTGTCAGCTTCACAAAGTGGAAGACACCTGCCCACCAGAAAGGCCTGCGGGAGATAACCAAGGACTTCCTTGCTATCAAACAAAAAGGTCCTGAATTCTGGCCCAACGACCCCAACTCGTCCAACAGGCGGCCTCTCGAGTACCCAAGAGACTACGAAGAGTAAGTGAGTCATGTACATATATCAGAGCTCGAGGCCCTGACCTCACAGGATACATCGTCTCTTGACAAAAGTGTTTTACCGCACCGCTCAGGAGCACAAGCGGAAACAATCCACGCCCTTAACTCCCAAAGAGTCGACTGAGAAACCCAAGTCTACCTTCACTAAGCAACGTCATCCAAAAACGACCTCGGGCGAACAAAGTTCGCGACGAGCCTGCCCAGATTCCAGGGGCCAAAGCGCCGACGACCCCATCGAGCTTGACAACATGCAGTCTACAAGAAATGTTTCCGGACCATCTGCGTAAGTTGTTTCTGATGCTTCTTGAAGACTTTTGTGCTTATAAGTTTATTTCCAGGGACGTCAACCCCTCTGCAGAACCGTCCCGGAGGTTCGCCCGTGAGTTTTTTATGCCCCCTGAACTACCAGATGGCATCCCCCCTGAGGAAGGGCCTATCGGTCGACCATGGGAAACACGAGATGATTTTCTCGATCCTCACGTCCCTCGAAATAACAATACAACTTCAAACATCCCTTCCCATGCTGCAACTGCTGAGGATCCCTATCAAGAGCCCGACAGCCCGACCGAAGACACCCATGTTGTATGTACCGGGTTTACCAAACCTTTGCAAATTATGCTGACATTGGCGACCAGCCTCGAGATCGCGGGAAACGACCGGCACAAGGGGACTACTCAATTCAAGATGTTCGCCCGGCCAAAGTCCTCCGACAAGCACGAGACAACATAGAAGTCGGGCCTGGATCATCAACCAGGGGCCCGTCTTCCAATAACTCATGTGCCAACGCACCTTCTGCCAATAACTCGTCTTCCAGTTTTGCTCCCACCAGAATCCCTTCCCAAAATGTTCCATCGGTCGATCCCCCTTCTGCTGCACCCCGGCCCGTCAGGAAAAGGGTTCGGATCCATCACGAGCAAACCCGAGCCTCAAGTCGGATCCGGAACCAAACTCAGCACCCGAATTTCGCGGACGAGCAGACCTCGCGTAGGGCTATTCTCACGTCTTCTTCGGAAGATGAAGAAGAACAAGAAAATGAAAGAGATGATGGGCTCCGAGAACCGCCACGCCCTACAGACAATGTCCCCAACGACACATCTCGTCATGAGAATCCCTCTACAACTGCGCCTCGTGGTAACGCTACAGCGCCAGCAGCAGAGAAATCATCGTCAAAGCCCCGTAAAAATGCCGCCAAGAAACAGGCTTCGACCAAGAAAACCTCCAAGCCCAGAGCACCCAGGTCTAACGCGAAGCGTGGTCCGGCGCAAGAATCCCCAGCCGGGCCCAGCACCCAGCGCAACTCTACGCAGCAGCAGGCCAATGGCAGTTCGACATCTGGGTCAGGAACTCGTCAGTCTCAAACAGGCCAGCCCCAGACCGAGCAGAACCAGCCAGCTCGTAACAACACCGCGCCAAGTGCGGAAGAAAGACAAGTTATTGATTCTTCATCCTTCTTCTTCCTCAGACACGACGACAGAGCGTACATGCCCTGGACGCCCGCAGCCAACGCGTTGCAGATCTTGTTCCAGATGTCCCTCTCCGAGCTCATGCAGGATCTAGGATGGGACAATGCCCAAACGCTCTACATGAAGCTCGATGACAGCGCCAAACTCCTTGATGATCCATATGCAGCGAACTTTAATCCAGGCGATAATGACATGTTCAATGAAATGAGGCGCGTCTGGGTTGGGGAGATGCAACGGTGCTACCAGCGCACCACAGAGCCAAACTTGAAGTTTACACTGCACTTCAAGAAAAAGAAGGCGTAAGACTGTGTTTGGTTTAAAGTCCATTTCTTTGATGTTTTCATTCATGATCAAACAGGAATGCTTGTCAGGATTACGGAATTAATAGGAGGCAACATACACGACTATTTGCGAACATTTCCTTAGACCGTATAGCCCATTCTACGAGCAAGATAGACAGTGCGATATGAGTTAGTTATTTATTACAATTGAGGCTCTTCACAGCCATGATATTCAGGGGCAAGGCTGGAAGCAAAAAAATGATGCGACATGCAAAAACATACAACAGCGGGGATTCGCTGGTCGTCACCGACCCAACTACTAATCCGCCCCTCACTGGCTTATCTATGGGAGAGCGGACGGGATCCCGAGTTCTCCAGTGGGTATGGTCGTATGTACCAGAACTGCTTCAAAGTTGGATTATAGTGATCGCAGAGGTACCTGGTAGGTACATAGGAACCAGGTGCAGTGCACAGACATACCTATGTCAGCAATGCAGACAGAACTTGCACCATGTTCAAGTAATCATATTCCTACCTAGTTAGCAAGTAATTTTTTCCCTGATATCTAGGATAATGACTTAATAAATAAGTATCCTCAAGTGAAATACACTTGGCATAAATCTCAATCAGTATCTAGACAGGATAGAACCAAGCTCATGCCAGTTCCCACTTCACAATTCTTGCATTCAGCAGACTCTCTCATAGAGGTTCACATTATACATCCTGCGGCTAGCTCCTCATGATCAAATGGAATACTGTGTCAGTTCCTTTTTTTTCTCGCATGTTAGACTTAGGCTTCTTTATTCCTAATGTCATTGCGTTTGCCCACTTTCACCAGCGATCATCCACATAAATTGCCCTTCCCAAGATCAGCACCAGATAGAGACCAAATGTCATCTACAGCAGGTTCTCACTCAGTTTATGGTACTAAACAAAAGGAGACGCGACATGGGCAATTTCAAGAGAATGATCAATTGATTGTCACAAAGAGGGCCATTTTAAGCCAATCCTGAGTTGCTGCGGGCAAACGCAGTTCATTCAGTTACGTCCACTTTTACGGTGGCATAATGTCAGGATGCCTCAAATTCAGATAGAAGCCAAAACCAAAACGCTCATCTGGTCACCAACAACGACCAGAACGTTGTTTAACTTGTGGATTATACCATTCTCATATCGCGAGATTAACAAGAGACCTTTAGAATGCCACAACTCCCAACGAGGCAATTATTGAACATGTCGCATTTTTCTCCAGTCATCAAGACACATGTCCCAATTGAGCCTTGGGGATTTTAGCCAACTGAGCATGTTCCCATGGGATAATATGACATGGTTTGGCAAAGGCTCAGAAGAAAATCTTTGAGATGACATTTCTTTAACCTTCAGCAGATCTAACAAATGCTTCACCAGCTAGTAGCAATGATTGGATGAAATGGTTCTTTGTGACTTCCTAGGAAATCATGACATGAACATTGGTGGGGCATATTCCGCATACAGTGCGCTTGTGATTATCTGGCACGGAGTGATTGGAATAGCTTCTCTATTCTTGATCGTGCAATCAGTAGAACTACCATCAACACATATCGCATGCATACCGAGTTGACCATAATCATGACTGGTCCTCGTATGCATATTCCCCATCCTCCTCCTCCCTCCCCTCCCCATACAGCACCTCACAAACACCAGCCAACGGAATATCCATGACAGCGTCCGTCCCCTCGCTCCAAATCTCGCGCCACCTCAGCTTCCCATTCCCTTCAACCTTGCGCTCGCGGTTCCTTCCCCCACGCAGCCTTCCCTTAGCGTCAATCTCTGCCAGCTTGCCCGCGCCGTCGACGATGGTCTCGACGCTCGAGAGCGGCTCTGTCAGCATCTCGGTGTTGTATGCCGCCAGTGCGACGTAGATGTATACAACCGTCATGACGATAAAAGCCGGGATCGCTAATGCCCACCATCGGTTCGGGTAGTAATAAATGCCCAAAGCGTGTAGGAACGGCGATGGGAGGTAGCCCCAGAGTAGGTAGATGAGGAACGTCAAGCTACTGAAGAGGTACAGCACAAAGCCGTAGTATTCGTACGTGGGTACTTTCGGCGCCGCGCGCGGCACAGGCGCCATTGCATCGTCATCGGATGCATCTGGAGTCGTAGGTCGTGACGGCCGTAGGAGGGATGTGAGCGATGGCGAAGGGGGGAGAGGCGTAGGAGGACGACCGTAGAAAGGCGGCGCAAACAGATTCTGCGATAGTTGTCGCGGGGGAGAGTCTTCACCAGACGAGCTAGCGCTCTGGTTATCGCCGAGGATCTCGTCCTCTTCGTCGGAGCTGAGGGACATGTTGGCTGTCGCAATGTGAAATCTATGGTGCAAGGTTTAAAAAGGTGCGATCTCAGCTTGTGACGTTGATCCAATTGAGGCCACTGCACCTCAGATACCGGGTACATCCGCTATGTGCATCCTAGCTTAGCGCAGGTACGCCACCTGCACTACGCCTCCCCGGAAGCTTATCTTCACTACCCTGAATTCACCAAACTGGAAGCTTTCAAACGTTTCTCTCATACATTCCTGACTTTAGCGGCCTATGTTGTCTTAGTTAAAGTCAATGTTACTTTACAAGCCAATCATACGCTTAATTTATGCATACTACCCAATCTTCTCAACGTGGCCTCTCACAGCAACGTTCTACTATCAATGCATAATGTCCAACTCACCAGCATGATCACTGACTCCACATCATTCATGCAATCATTCTACTATATATGGAAGGAATTCATCATCATTAATCCATCTCTTTGGGTCTCTATTTCATATAGATTGTACAAGAACCTCCTCTTAAAAACCCCGAATTCACCCATCAATCGGGCATCTATACTCCCTCTCCCCCCCAACAACTCCATTCTCCTGGCGCTCCTGCAGCTCATCCAGGCAGCTCTGATGGTAGACGTGTCGACACGCTAGCACCACCAGTGGCCCCATCGGCTTGTCCTTAGTGCCGCTCACGGTACCGCTGCTTGCTTCAATAAGCATGCTCGATGGTCTCATGTCGACTCCCTTGCCCTTAGACCTGGGGTCTGATTCTCCAGCATTACCCTTGGCTCGCTCTGCCGCGTCAGCCTGTCTCTCCTTTCTCCTCTCCTCTTCAATCGCCTGTTTGTCTTCCCATGCCTCAAATACCGCCGCACCAGCAACTCCAGGACCCCAGACTCTTCGGTGGCACGCTTCACACGTGGATCCCCTGGGTCGCCAACCTCGCTGTCGAAGCTCCACTGATTCCTTGACATTGACAAACAGACTGCGCTCAAGAAGGCGATTTGACAGCCCGAGAATTGACTCCTCATATGCATACGCTGAGAATATGGACGCGAGGACGGCTCGGAGATCGGCCAGGTTCGGTGACGAAGCAGCCGCCTGTGTCAGGAAAGCCCGGAGAATGCGAAGAAAGGACAGATTAGATCCTGCATTCGACAAGAGCTTGGAACCTGGATGAGACGTATTCTGACTCGAAGTCGCGGTGAGCAACGACGTGAACGTGTGCTGAACGAGCGAGCGGAGAAGGGCGACCAGCTTCTCCTCGTCAAAGCTGTCGTCACTGCTGGTGAGGTCTGCGGCAGAGCTGATTGCTGGAGATAGCTTCTTGGTGATCTGGACACAAGCGTCGATCAGACTCAGCCAGAGAGCCTCGTCAGGTGATAGTGCCTCGATTGCCGACTTTGGTGCTTTCGACTTCTGCACCACCTTTGTCTTTTTCGACGAAGACTTGGTCTGACCTTGACACAGCCAGATACCGACGTGCACATACTTCTGGAGGCCTTGCAGCAAATCCTCTGCAGCGTATCCAAGAGCTTGCCCATTGTCTTGGTCTGCGGCGCCGGCCAAGAGGCCTTGTATGGCCGATTCCAAAGTTCCGAGGTGCTTGACCAGTCGCTCCATAGCGTCCTTGATCTGGCCCTCGCGTGCCATCAGAACAACAGCTGCGTCAATCACGCCTGTCTCCTCCATCGTTGGGAGCAGTTTCTCCAGCCTCAAGTTGGTGGACTGCACTAGGCCGACATAGTCTGACACATGAGCCGGTTCAAATTTGCACATTAGCTGAACATATCGCTCGACAAGGTCACGAGCGGCCGTCGCTTTGTCTTCTGGCGCTGCCTCCTCAGGTTCTAACAGAGTCTTCAGATACGTATGCTGCAAGTCTTGCGCATCTTCTGCCGAATCGAGGATGTGTTGATGAAGCTCCAGTTCTTGGGCAACAAACGTTTTTGCCGCGTCATCGGCGCCGAGATCAAGCAGATCTCGAGCATGCTCCTTGACAACAGCAAGAACCTCGTTGACCTGGCGAGCGCTCAAACCCGCTTGAGGCCGTAGGCAATCGGCGAGGCATTCAAACACCAATTCCTGCTCTTCTGGGTCCTCGAAATAAGTCTGAACAAGTTTGCCGTATTGCTTGTCAGTCTTGTAGATGCGCTTCAGAATGCGATAGAACCCTGCCTTCTTGAACAATGGCATCAGATCCGGCATATCTGATGGATGATAGACAGATAAAAGATACTCGGCGCTGAGCTGAGCATCCTCTGCCAGGTCATGCCCGGGGTAATTGCAGAGCCCAGTAAGTACGCGCGAGAGTGTCGTGCCCGAGAATAGGAGGTATTGGGGAAACTTGGGGAGATTTCGTGCAATGAACATGTCGAGATAGATGGTGTCCTCGGGAGCAAAGTCATCAGGGTTCATGACATCCAGGAGAATCGACAGCACGTACTGCCGGTTTATGGTCTGTCCAAAGATCAGCTCCTCAGGCAGATCCTTGGTCCCCCCATTCATGTACATGTCATTCGAGTCATTCAAGAATGGATCCTCGAATGCTTCGTTCAACGAACTCAAGAAACTGGGCGCGTCAAGCTTCAGAATCATGCGAAGGTATGGGAACGAAGGCTGCGAGTCGGCATTGGGGATGGTGCGGAACTCTTGTCCGCTACCTCTGGGCCAAGTGACAGTTCTTCCCGAGAAAAGAAACCAGTAAATCTCAGCCTTTGCCTTGATCGCCACCTCGTCGCTCATCGGCTCCTCGTTCGGATACACTCTCCCAGTCAGGGTGTAAGAGAGGTAAGGGAACATTTTGAAGGCGTTGATACTGAAAAAGTCATCCGCCGGGTTGTTCGCTGCAAAGTCTCCATCCACCATGAGCGGGATTAACAGAGTGAGGAGATCGATCATAGGAGTGATGTAGTCGCCGAGGGCCTGGTTCCAGACATAGATGAGAGCATCATACAAGCTGTGCTGCTTGCACAGGAGAGTTACCTGATCCAGGTCAAGCGTTGCCGTCTCCATGTGGCAGATCATCTCCTCAAGCCTACTCTCCATTCCTCGACTGACATAGTGAGAAACCATATCTTTGACCACCGTAGGAGGTACAATCGAGATGGTCTTTTCGAGGATGCAGGGCTCAAGGCACTCGAGAAAGATGCCACCAATCTCGGCGTCATCGTACCAATCATACATGTCCTCGAAGAGGTAGTCTGTGTTGTCAATGCTCTGACAGGCGGCGAAACATGTCTCCGCCAGCTGCTTCATATGCTCGTCGTTATACGTTTCAGGATTTTTTGCACGTTGCCCAAAGGCATATTTCAATGAAGCGCTGATGATCTCCATGATTTTGTCTCGAACCATAGAATGGCGCAACACGGGGTCCTCAGGCAACCCCACGGTGAGCTTGTCGGCGTCGCCAGTATAGTATGAGGTCGCCAGCTGAATGGCACCAATGTAGTCACCATTCTCCATCATGGCAATAAGTCGATCCGCCCAGTTTGAGAGTGCACCAATTGACACTTCGTTGAAGCCGAGAGTGAATATCCTCCCCTTGTATGCCTTGAAGCTCATGTAGAACGCATCGGCAACAACTCCATGCATGGTCGAGTCGTTTTCATCCAGCTGCTCGACGAGAGTATGCAGCTGCTTTGAGAATAGGTCGGTGTGATAAATGTACTTTTGCAGCAGGTCAAAAGCCTCTGTCATGCGCATGCTTCTATCCTCAAGAACAATCATCCTCTGTGAGATGGTGAGGACTGCAAGCACTGATCGGCTTAGCCACTGCACCGCAACGATTGCCTCCTCGCACTTCCATCGACTTCGCGCCTTGAACCTGTACGAGGCAGGCTGGTCCTTATCTTCACGGGGATATTCGTCCACATCCAACACCGTGAGGATATTCGACCAGCAATAAGCGAGCTTTACTTTGGAAATGTCGCTGCCGGTATGAGGATCTGGAACCTTTAGCTTGACAGCTGGGAACCAGGCCAAGCAGCCCGTCATAGCACTGTGCGGCGGAACATCCTTGGGGCGTGCTGACTTATGTTGGGTTTGGGCCACAGGAGTGGTCGAGACAATGACCAGGAGATAAGGCGTCAACATGGCCGTCAAACCTAGCGCATCGGTCGAGCACTCGACATTGCCCAGGGGCAGAGGCGCAAAGGCAAGAACCGTGCTGGGCTTGACTGTTTTCCCTGCAGGAGTTGGCGCATCTGGGTAGCGGCCAAGAATCCTGTGCGTCTTGACAGTTCGTCCAAGTGCGCCAGTCCCCCGAGTCGCCAAATGCGAGAACGCCATGCCACGATCATCGGCTGAAACAAGAGCCGTGTGCCGAGTTCCTAGGAACCCAAGGTGTGTGACTGAAACACCGGGCATATGACCATCAGCCGTGCGGTTAGTGAGATGTGAAGGGTCCAAGTGTGGGATAGTCAAGAACGGCCTCGATGCGCGGCTCGTGTCCCATGTAAAGATGTTGCCATTTGCATGTCCTCCAGCAATCGTGGTGTGGTCAGCAGAGACGGCGATGGCGGTGATCGGTCCAGACTCGACGGCTATATCATGTCAGTATATCGTCCACCAACTCCTATCAGAGCTTACCTTTGGTTCCTGGGCCAATGATCATTTTCAAGTTTTGGTTATAATCAAACACAAGTATTATTCCCTTGGAGGTTCCCAACACTATCGTCGCCGACACAGCAAGGCACGTCGGCGACCCAAAGTTTCGCTTTCCCGCTTCAGAAAAAGCATGACTGTTCAGCTTCCGCAGCCTAGTCCAGCGCACCACCTCCCATGGTGGCGTTGGTGTTTCGAGATCGGCTTGGTCGAGGAGGAATTGAGAGCTGAGAGAGACATTACGACTATGGCTGGAAAGAAAGGGGAAGCCTGGTGATGAGGAGCGAGGTGTGTGGTTGGCGGATGAGGAGATGCGGGATTGGAATCGACGGTCGAACGGTCTGAATGAAGGCGAGGGACTACTCAAGCCTGGGCGCGAGGCTACAGATGGGAGAATACTGCTGCCAGGTGAAGAGATAAAGGAACCCTATGATCTGTTAGACGAGCCTAGACAAGCAAAGGCGAATGCATTCCCACCTGGATCGATGGAGTATCATCAGGTCCCGATAAGACCGAGTCGATCGGACTCCCGGCTCGCTTCGGAAGCCCATGAAAGGAGCTGTCTGCGAGAGAGCTCACATCCGAACCATCCTGATGCTGCTGCTGCATAATCTCGCGGAATCGATTCGTCACGGATCCGTTCTCTATAGTGACAGGTGCTGAATGATGATCTGGCTCATCGTCGTCCGAGTCGAGTGAACCAACAGCACCACCACCAACAAGACCAACACCAGCCTCCTCCGGCGCATCGTTTATCGTGTCGCCATTGTCCGAGTCCACGTCTCCCGCAAGAGACAAATCTTCTGGATCGGCCATTGCTCCGTGGCTTCCATCACTGCATGCGCAAACACTACCGCGTCGAGGTCATGGCCTGCGTAGGGGGAAAGCTGCTGGGTGGCTGTGATTGCGACGACGCAGGAGAGTGGGTGGTATGGAGCTCGTTCGAGGGTTGGTGTCGGAGGGGCAACGCAGCGGCTTCGCAGCTCTCGTACGTTGAGCTGAGGAGAGAAATGATTAACCGGCTGCTTCTGTCGGTCTTATACAACAGCTGCTCGGACGTATTCGCTCAAAAGCCTCGATTTCTTAAGACGTGCGCAAGTTGGAGCTATGTCGAGCTACGTAGTTCGTAATTCGCATGCAAGCCCCGTTTTGGTGCCTTAACAGTGGAGGTTGGTAGGTCGCGGCGCAGCCGAACAGGCAGCCAGACAGCCTAGAGAAACGCCTGGAGCGGACCGGTGCCATGATTCTCCGGACCACCTGCGCTGTGACGTCTTTCTGGGGGTAGCATGTGGCATGCCATCGCGACGGGAGTCCCACATGATGGAAGCTTCCATTCTTAATGCTACATCCCATCCCGACGCGACAGATTGTTTCTTGAAACGTAGTCTTTACATAAAGGGCTAAAATGTCTTCAATTGGACCCCAACTACCACCACATCTATCCAAACGGAAGCGCACACCAGAAAGAGACGCTTCACCTCCAAGCAAGCACCGTCGAAGCGAGTCGCCAGCAAAGAATAAGGACGAGATCGACCTCGACGATTCGGACGACGACTACGGTCCCAGCGCGCCTGCACCTCAGAAGGCCTCCATCGGCCCCTCACTACCACCGTCCAACAAAGATGAGATAGACCTCGACTCAGGTTCCGATTCAGATACCGGACCAGCGCCGCCAAAACGAACAGTTGGACCAGCGCCGCCGCTTGCTGATCTCTCAACGCGCCCTGATACTGGCCCCGACTCAGACTCGGATTCAGAAGATGACTATGGCCCTGCTCTCCCCGGCGCCTCCAACGCCAATAAACCCACGATAGGACCGCAACTCCCTGCAGCTGAGCCAGCTCCCCAGCGAGACTCCTGGATGCTCGCGCCACCGTCTGCCTCTGGATATTCAGAGCGCGACCCAACAAAGATGCGCAATCGCAAATTCGCCTCCAAGCCAGCTTCTTCATCCGGTCCCTCGACCGTGTCTTCCATCTGGACAGAGACCCCTGAAGAGAAGCTCAAGCGCTTGCAGGACTCGGTGCTCGGGCGCGGCGACAAGACGGCGGAAACAAATCCAAAGGCAGCCTTGGCCAAGGATGAAGAGGAGCGGAATCGCAAGATATCTGCCAATATTGAGTCTAAGAGAGGCAAGAGTCTGTATGCTGAGCATCAAGCTCAGAGGGACAAGGATGGAGAGAAGGCCGAGGAAGAAGATGACCCGAGTAAACGAGGCTTCGACAGAGAAAAGGACATGGCAATAGGCGGGAAAATCGGGACGGCTCAGAGGAGGGAGCTGATGAACAAGGCTGCCAACTTTGGAGGCAGATTTAAAAAAGGATCCTACTTGTAGTACTTCAACTGCAGCAATTTGATGCAGTGTGATTGGTTGGCAGCGACGTTTACATGCCACGATAGATACGAGGATTCAAATAGATGGAACAAATTCTTATTGTACCATCTGCCTATCGAAGATGCCCATAATCACCAAACTCCGCCGCTCCATTCCATCCCAGCTGAAACCATATTTTCCAGCCCAATGCAAGTACAATACCTCCCGTCTTACACATGAAGCCTTTGATAAAAATCAGGATCCCCCCCGTTACCCTTGCCTCTACCTCGATGCATGCGAAGCCAGCGTTCCCTCGCATGCCCTTACCAGGGGTATATATAGCTCATCAAGCCCTATACGTCCTCGGATAATCATCCACATACCTACCTCATACCCATCTTGCTGTCCCACGTGTATCTTATGCGGTCTGAAACAAACATGCCGTGTCATAAAAGTCGAGTGCTTTATAGTGAGAAGATCATGACGGTTGTGCCCTGCGTTTGATGGCCGGGTGAAAAAGAGAGAAAACCATCGCTAGCGAGAAATATCGTGTCGTTATGTAATAAGAATGGAAAACGGAAAGCCACATTTATTGAGCAGCAGCCGCGGGACGATTTGCCGCCTCAAGTTGTGATGGTGTTACAGTCTCGGCAGCGCCGTTCTGATTGGGAGGCTGCTCTTGTCGTCGTCGACCGAAGCGGAAGGCGCCGCGTACAGATGACAGCACTCCGCCATTCGACGTTCGAGCAGCTTCCGGACTTTGAGGGGTCTGATCAGGTTGTGTGGCCTGCTCTGTACCCTCGGGTCTTCGCTCAGATCGCCGGCGTTGAGGCACTTCTGGGGTCGAAGTTGCGTTATTTGCACTACGAGGACCCCGAACCCAAGCAGAGCGGATCGCAGCAGGAAGGTTGAAACGAGGGTTGTTGCGAGGATCAAAGCTAGATCCATTGTTGGCGTTGGCATCATTCGAGGCTTCGGGAACGGGTCGAGGCTTGGGGACATAGTAGTCGGCCTTGCAGAGAGGACAGCAGGCTCGGCGGCTCGTTAACCATGGGTCAACACAGACGGCGTGGAAGGCATGACCACAAGTCAGTCCACGGACGTCGTCATCATCCTCGAGTGTATCAATGCAAATAGCACAGGTGTCACCGGGGGCTTCCAAACACTCAGGTGGCAGGGCACCATCGATGTGGTCGTCATCATCCGAATCCTCACTAGAAATTCGCTGAAGTTGGTTGTTGTTTGTCGTCTGCTCAGTCGAGGTCTGACCGTTCTCGGCGGGAGTGGCTGTTGTTTCCCTTGGTTTCTCGTCTTTGGGCTTCGCATCCTTGGGCTTCTCATCAGCTACCACAGCAGCAGCGGTGATAGGTGTCGGTGTCTCGGTTGTATCGGTTGCTCCCGTTGCTTCACCTTCACCCCTCGCCACGGCACTGGTAGATGGTCGTCCATCGGTCGAGTCGCGTTCCTTGGCTGAAAAGTCTGGCACAATTCCATCGGCTTCTCGTATACTGTTGGGTCGGGTCGGGGGAGCTGAAACGCCGCCAGTGGTGGGAAGACCTTCTCTCGCACGATCGGAGACCCATGTCTTGTATTTCATCATGGGAAACTTGTCGTTCACCTCGTCCATCGTCATCAACTTCTTCTCACGACGTCGACGATGAGGTCGAGGCATATTTTCGAGAGTGATGGGCTCGCCGTCTTCGTTCATTCGCATCGCGCGGTTACGAGCGTTGTATCGGAAGCAGTACTTGACACCGACAATAATCCTGAGAAGAGTTGTTAGTGGCGTTGCATCTTTTGCTATCCAGCCACAGTGCATGTGATTTGGACGCAAGCGGATCTCACCATAAATTCGTAAACACGACACCGAAGCCGAGGGCAACAAAGAATAAAAGAGGTGAGCTAGACCCATTATTGCTGTTATTGTTGTCGCGGTTTTCGGTTTCGCTCGTCTGGGCACTGGCGCTCGAGGTTGTGGTTGAGGACGAGTCCTCGGGAGCGGCGGCGCGGGCGACGATGTGAGTGACCTCGGTCAACAACTGATTGATGACGGCCATGTTTACGGTCGGAGGAGAGCGACAGCAGACACAGAGAGATGAAAGGCTGGCTCGAATTGACTCTCGGGCTGCCGTACGGATACCATGGGCCGTTCAAGGCCAGAAACTCTCGCGGAGGGACCAGGGCGCCTGGCGCAGCGGGTGCAGCACGGCAAATGCAGGGCCAGGCACTTTATTCCAGCGGTTGCGTCAACATCAAACGATGAACCTTGAGCCGAGAAAAGGTATCCGCAGCCAAAATTTTGTTCTTTTTTGTTTTCCCTCCTCGTACAAGCGAGAGAAGAAAAAACGAGGGGATGATGATGGTAGGTTTGATGGGGTGAGCGGCGGAGGGCGGAGGTGCAGTGGAGTTGGCAGGACAAGGCAAGAGAGGGAAGAGATGCCAGGGCAGGCGCGAGTGTGGACGCCCTCTGGATAAAAAGAGAGCAAGAGCAGAGGACGACCAAGGAGGAATGGGGGATGGGGCGAGCGAAACCGGGCCGGGGGTGGAATGACGGGATCTGAGTGGTCAACGACAATAGGTGTGTGGGTCCAACGCCGTGGTGAACACTGTGCAAGGGACCTGGCCTGACGCTTCTCAGCCCGGGAGCACAGGGCCTATGATGGAGGGGCCCTCCCTCACAGCGGGCCTAGAGATTCTGGAGATGCCCTCGGGCAGTGGAGAGACTGGCCTGAAAGAGGGAGGTCGCTGGAGGTTGGCGTTACTGACAGGGGGTCCTCTACAGCAAGGGGGGGATGGATGATGGGAGGGGAAGACGGGCCAAGTCTTTCCACAATCTGCCTGTGCGACACAGAACAACCGAATGCTCTTTTTTGCCCCGGCCGCTGTGACCCGCTGGCGGTCTGATGTCCGTGGCTGGAATCCCTCTCCGTCTCGTCTCAAAATGCCTCTTTGTGCCTCTGAAGTTCTGGGGTGGTGATTTCTAAGAGGTCGGGGCCCGCGGATACGGTTCGGTGGTTGGTGGGATGGCCTGCCGCTTCGAGACTGGCGAGACTTTTTTATCTCTCGTTATTGTTTTTCTTTGGGGCCTCGACTGCTGCGCCGTTAAATGGAGGACTCGAGATACATATGTACAATGGGTCGGCGAGGTATTTTAAAGAGAGCAGACACAGCATCGAGCGTTTGCTTGTTCGCGCTGTGGTCTCGGACTTGGCGTATTGGGCTTGGAGCCGGATTTGTGATTCAATCAACAACAATACAAGCGGATTGGATGAATGGGGGTTTCGTCGTTATGGGCCAAGAGGCTTCAGCATCTGGAGTGTGTGACAGCCACAACAGGGGATGGTTCACCTCACTCGACGGGATAATGGTTCGTGTTGGCAACCGTGCTCCCTCCAACACTAGGCCTAGCCAGTTGATACGCCGTGCCGTACGCAAATGACATTTCCATCCGTCGTCGCTCGTCCCGGCCTCAACTGCAATACAGCACAGCACAATACGCATACGCAGCACACACCGCAGGTTTCAGCACCCTTGGGATGACGACGCTCGCATTGGACTTCTTCTAAGGGTCTAGACGGAGGTCCCTTTTCGCATGGACTAATGGGCTCCTCCGCAACACAACGCATCTTTACGCCGGGCGAGCTCACCTTTCCCTCCTGCTGCCGCTGACATCCGTGGCGCAGCGCCGCGGGGGAGGTGGAGCCCTGAAGCACTGAAAGCACGGGGATGACGGGGGTCTCCTGGCCCCAGAGCGGGTCGTCGACTTTTGATTCCATGTTTGACGGCGATCTCTGGTAGAAAAGACGAGCTTTGATTTTCGGCGGCTCGCGGGCTGTGGGAGAAGCCGCTCCTGAGGAAAACTCTATTGATATTGCAGCCTTCAATTGAGAAGCTATCGACAAGCATCTCGTTGCCCTTGTCAAGTAGAGAGCTGCAACTCACTTCTCATGCCGTCATCTCACCACCCGTCATGATAAAAGTCGCCACTTGACAACACGCCAGCGCAACTCTCCGAGAAGCCGGATTAGACCGTCAAGAGCTGTCACTGCTATTCATGTGCATTGTTTATTATTCTTTGAATTTTTTTTCTTCTTCGCTTGCTCCTCCGGCCCAAAACTTTGACCGACCGCGCTTCTCGCGGCCTTCTCCACTTGATGCCGACCAAGCTTGTCTCAGCCCCGTCCCGCCCGGCCCGCGCGAAGCTCCTTATTCTACCTCTACAAGTCCGGACGTCGTCACTTGACATCCGTCGAGTAAGAGGCATGATCAAGAACATTGCCCCTATCTCATTCTCCTATCTCTACGAAAAGGGGGGCTGATGTTTTGATGGTCAGCTGTCGACCGCCTCCAAGGGTCTAGACAAGCGGCGCAGCCCACGGGTATCCAAAAGCTTGGTTGAGCTTGACTTCACCGTGGTGGCAAACGCATGTAGATCTAGAACTGCCCTGCCCGTTGCAGGAGCACCGAGTTGCTGGAATAGCCTCCGGGTCTAGCTCCCGTGATGGTTCCCCATTGTGAAACCAGCCATCCGAGATATCCAGTGAACCGGCATGCGTGCAGATCAAGCCCTGGAACACGGTTGATTTTGGCTCGCTGTAGATTTCATCGTGTCGCAACGCCAGGGATCATGGTTATGATGATGATCCTGCAAATGAATGTGCTACGTGACAGCCAAGGATGAAATCAAGTATGATGAAACTCGGTTCCTCATTGACAGCTGTCTCACAATGCAGACGAAATCGTCATCTTGAGGGCAAATCGTAAACAAGGTACGCATCTTTGCGCGTCCTTGACAATCTGGCGCGGCCCTCTAAGCAACCCGCACCGAAACCTCAAAGCCCGGCACTGAAACGAACCTGGGAACGAACCCACCTAGGGATTCGAGAGAGGTAAACCACAGTGCATCTCAGCAAGCTCTCACACGGCTCCTAGCGTCGATTTCAGCTGTGTGGGTTGTCTCGTTGCGTTGCGTTGCTCACCACACTCTTCTTGTCTGCAGTCAGTTCCAGTCTAGCCTGGCGGCTGCATGGGCTGCCCCAGTGATGGCGCGCTGTGCTGCACCCCGTCTGGTCTGGCCTTGCTCTCCGCGGTGGCGATTGGATCGCCAAAATGCCTCGTCCTCTTCTCTGGTGCGGTCAGCAGTGAGGGAAGCTGCCAGGGACGGGAATAAGGTCTCAAAGTCCATTCAAGGGCCTCCAATCGGCCGGAATGCGCGGACGACGGAAGAGGCGGCTTGTTCGGCAGCAACGGGCACATGCACAACTCCATTTCTTCGGGTCCGTTTTTGTCTCTTTTTTGTTTATTCATCGGATGTTCTTCTTTCCTGTTGATCTTCTTTCTTCCCGTGCATCCCGGCAGTTGAACGACTTTACGGGGCTATGACGCATTCCATTGGATCTTCACAAAAGGGCCTGAGTGTCAGACGACAAACCAGCGAATAAACAAGTCCCCACGTCAGATTCTTGACTCTAGACCGTTGCTGCTAAACGCCGGGAATCTCGGGTTTGGTCAAAGTTAATTGGGGAGGATTTGGAATGTTGCTCTGGTTGAATGCCGGTGAGCGTACCGTTGTTCTTGTCGTCGTCGTCGTCAACATCGGGCTGTGCAAAAGAGATCAATCCATGCATCTTTTTATACGCCCGCAGCGTATTGGGTAGGTTGCGTATCTGATCGAGGCTATAGTTCTTGGCTTTCTGACGCAAGATCATGTTATTACTCAGCCATCAGGAAAGTGTCTGACAGCTATGAGTTGTCCCGGGCCTCATGATCCTTCTTGTAGATGAGCCTCAAAGGCTTTCTGCGAGGCTGCTAGTCTGTCAATTCCTGTTCAAAGTGGATGGACCCTGACTCTCACCAACATTGAATCAATTAGTCAGGCGCCTCGTCTCGACGATCCCAATGCTCGGTGTCTCATTGACCCGCGAACCGGCTGGAAAAGCTTAACAGGTCTCTCTTCCATAACGGGCGCCAGACAGCAATAGTCTATCAGCCAAGCAAGACGCCATCCATCCATCGACAGCAGGTTCACTTTCCCCGCGTGTGCGCCCAGACAAAGACGGCGTCGCATCGCTTCATGACTCTCCTCTTCTCCTTGGTGCCACCCCCGCCTTCGAGCTAGGCCTAGGTTCATGATGGGGTATCGTTTACCGCAGCGCGGGGCGGAGAAAAGGGCTTTCAGCCGCGGTCTAGGTGAAGCCACGGGTGACAGAATCGTACCATTAAACGGCTCTTGATTCAAGAAAGAATCATCCGTGCTCTAAACAATACATGCAAGCGAACAGGAGTCTCCTGTGATGAAAAAAAAGCCTCTGAAAAAGAATGGACCAGTGAAAAGTCCTCCCCTGCTTCTCCGTATCGTTTTCCGAATTAGGTTTTTTGGGTGTCTCCATCCTTGCCCCACGCAAAAACCCCAAATGCAGCCTGAATGCAACAAGCGGCGTCCATCCCGACTTGACAAACATCCAATCTCTTGAACGTGATCAGCATCTCAACGAATCGGCGTGTTACAACCACGCATCTCGCAAATTTCGTGATGCCTCCTACTCAACTCCCCGAGTCGGGGAACCCCCTGTGAGTTCTTCCCTCGTCTTACTCTCTCGCGCCCTCTCAACATCCCCCCCGTTCAGGTGGCGGTGCAGAAACACATCACCCCCCGGCAGAACGAACAGTGGAGAGGGCGCAATTCGAGTCAGGTCTGGTCCATGGTGACAAAGTGTGTGTGGGCTGATTCTTGGCTGGCCTCGTCCTTGCAGCGTCTTCTTCGACATCACCATCGGAGGTTAGTCCCCCCGCGTCCGCCCTCCGTCCTCGGCTTGCATGCTCCGGCCCCGAGCCGGCATGTCCGGAGCTTCATCTGGGGCCGATTCGGCATTTGGAAGATGAAGCTATTCCCATGGGTCACTCATGCGTTGTTGCGCAAGGCTCGCCTATTGTTGCCCTGCTACTGAGCTCCATCTCACTCGAGTAACCTTTCATCAAAGCCCAAGCTCACGTCGTTCCTAGGTGAACCCCTCGGCCGCATCACCTTTGAGCTATTCAAAGATGTCGTGCCAAAGACTGCCGAAAACTTTCGCCAGTTCTGTACCGGCGAGTCCAAGAACCCTGCTGGTCGACCCCAGGGCTACAAGGGCTCCAAGTTTCACCGCATAGTGAGTTTTCCTTCTACATGTTCACCCCTCGATCTTTCATATAGGACAAGCAAGCTGATATTACAAAAATAGATCCCCAACTTCATGTGTCAGGGCGGTGATTTCCTTAACGGAGATGGCACCGGTTCGACGTGTATCTGGGGCTTCAAGTCCTTTGAGGATGAGAACTTTACCCTCAAGCATGACCGACCTGGTCTGCTCTCCATGGCTGTATGTCTTTCCCTTCTTTATTACAACTCAGACACTTACATGGCTATACAGAATGCCGGCCCCAACACCAACGGCTCCCAATTCTTCATCACCACCGTCCCTACTCCTTTCCTCGACAACAAGCACGTCGTCTTTGGCAAGGTTGTCGACGGCATGGACGTTGTAAAGAAGATGGAGGCCACCAAGACGGGTTACCGTGGCAAGGACGTCCCCAACTTAGACGTGGTGATTGCTCAGTGTGGTGAGATGTAATTGTCGTCGGATACACAGGAACGAAAGAAGACAATGAAACCATGTATGGCGTGGTAACGCCCGAGGGCTGGACAGGGATCGAGATTTCAGAACTGTAGATACCCATCGGAATATCATCTCGACTCCCCTATTATCGGCGCTTTTCACTCTGTGCCATGTATCACTTGTGCCTCATGAGATAGATTGCGTGCAGCGTGTACACCGTCGGCCACCTTGTATTAAGCCGGCAGCCGAAATGACCTCAAGGAAACCTTTTCACATTCACAATCACAAGTACTAACTGAAACATTGCAAACAGGTTCTACAAGTCACATAGCACAGAGTCAAACATCAAGAGCTGGTGTGAACCGTTTTCGAATTTTTTTAAACTGGGAGCTTGTTTCCACCCGTAAATCCCACGTATACTCGCTCCCCCTTACTCAAGCCAAAGAGAGAAACATTGCAATAAATCAAATCCCATGCTTAAAATCAAATGGGCGTCCGGTCGCCTCTTCTTCCACCGTTCCTAAGACGGTGGAGAGAAGAGGCTGAACTGGGACCCCTTTTTTCGCTAAGAACAAACAATAGTGGTATCATGTATCCAACGCCGTTTATATGCGACCGGCGCGCCTGACCCCTTTTTTGCCGTGTTTCCCTATCCTCCCTAATAGGAGGGGACGCGGCCGTATATGTACGTGACTTTGCTAGTATAGTGAAGCCTATAAGCTTCACGAAAGGAGGGCTTGGGATACATGAAGCGACCTAAAAGTCGCCAAACACCCAGTTCTCGCGTCGGCGGAGGAATCCCGAGGGGATGGGAGGTCCGCTCTTTGTCGGCGCGGCACTGCTCACCGGCAGGGGCGTCTCGCGGAACTGGCCACCGGGGACCGTTTCTTGAGAGGGGGAGTTGATGACGGTGGAGGAGGGTGTGTTGATGTGGGTGGTGAGAGTCTCGACGACAGTCTGAGCGGGCTCGGCGGGGGCGTCTTCGCCAGTGGCCGAGGGCTTGGTCGAGATGTGACTGATGATGGTCTCGTAGACAGTCGAGGGCTCTGGCTCTGGCTGCTCGACGTTGGTAGCGCCGGCGGTAGGGCTGGAGGTGACGAAAGTCAAGAACGAGGAGGGAGCAGTTGGGGGAGTGCCAACGGCTTCAGAGGGCTGGTTTGAGGGCGAAGGGTTAGGAACCACGGGGTTGGGGACCACCGAGGTAGCGATACCATTGCCAGCAGTCTTGCTCCTAGTCACCAAGATAGTCGTCGTAGATGTCTTGGTGGTACTATCTGTAGGCTCAGCGGCAGGGCCAGTGGTCATGGACTCGGCGGGGACAGTGACATAGACTGTCGTGACAGTGGCAGGCGGCCGCACAGTCTCGGTGACGGTCACCGTAGCGACGCCATCACCACCGCCAATGGGAGTAGACGATGAGGGCACACCAGGAGCAGAGGGCTGGACGGGCGAGGTAGGCTGAACAGGTGAGGTAGGTTGAGCAGAGGCCGAAGGGAGCACAGCGCTGCCACCCTCGTTGCCATCAACATCGACCTGGTAGTTGTTGCGCATCTGAGCCTCAATACCAGCAGAGTAAATGTTCTGGTCGTCGACCCAGTCTAGGCTCTCGACATCCTTGGCGACAAACGAATCAGCCTGGGCGCCGGTGATCTTGATGTCGATAACGCTCGAGTAGCTCTCGTTGCGAGCGATAGCGTCCATGGTGAAGCCGTTGGGGTCCTTCTCGCCGCGCATGAAAGTGCCGGCCCAGGGGAATTTGCCGTTCTTGGTGGCGTCCATGTCAATCTTCTCGGCGTTCAGGTCGGGCCAGTCCCAGTACCAGTAGATGGTGTAGGTGTCGCCGGCCTTTAGGTCGTCGGGAAGCTTGATGTCGGACTGGCAAGCGAGCTCCTTGGTGGGAAGGGCTCCCTTGGAAGCGAGCTCGCTGGATCGAGAGGTGCTCAGTTGGCCAGGGTTGGGCTGATAACACTGGCCATCGTCGTAGTTGCGCGTAGCGATGAGGCGACCGCGCTTGTCACCACCAGTGCCGTCCTTGTTCCAGACTAGGTGGACGTCAAAGAGCTTCTCCTGCTCCTTGGGTTGAGTTGTGCCGTAGAAGTACAAAGTGCCACGGTTCTTGGGCTTCTTCGGCTGGTTCTCAGGAAGGGTAGTGTGGCCATTCTCGAGGTGCATAATAGCGATGTAGTCGCCAGCGGAGGCCTCGAGCATGGCGTATTGGGGGTTCTTCTCAAGCTTAAACTTGTTGAGAACCTCTTGACCAGAATAAGCGGGCTGTCCAGCAGCCGGCAGGATGTTCTGGGGAATGGTGTCGGTAAAGGGAGGGTTGGTAGAGTCGCGGGGTACGTATCCGCGAGGGAAACCGATGTTTCCAATCATGGTGCCATTTCTAGCCAGCTTGAAGGCGTATTCGACCCACGAATGAGCCGAAGCAGGCGAGATGAGAGTTGCGCCGGCGAGGACGAGGGCGGAGGCGGAGACCTTCATGATGGAAAGTGGTCGCTTGTTGTTGTTTCGGACGATAGTTGGTTGCTTTCAAAGTAATGTTGGGGACGATGCTTTCGAGCAGGTTTGAAAAAGCTTTGGGAGGAAGAAGAAGAAGAGGTAAATGTTATAGTCAGGTCAAAAGCCGTGATAGAAATGAATGAATGTTGAAATGACGAGGCCTTCTCTGAAAAGGAGCGACAGAGTGAGGCGGAAGCCCTTCACTTTTGCTTTCCCAAGCCGGTGATTTATTGTTGCCCGATTGATGAAAGGGAAAACAATTGTTATTGTTCGCGAGAAGAGCGAGTGAATGAGGGCCCTCTTTGTTTTTTTCCCCTCTTTGGCGGCTGGTGAACACTGTCGATGGATGGATTCGGCTTTGGGCAGTGTCAAGGCGGCTTTACTGAAGTGAAGCCCGTGACCAAACGATAGATGACTCAATAACCTTTTTCGGTTCTATAGGTTCCTCTCCTATACAGAAGAGGATAAAAAGTGACTGGTATTGTTTGAGATGTGAGGAACAATCTCAGAGTGTGAAGCGAGTTGTGATGGGGTTCCCCGGCGTCCAGCGTAGGTTTTGAGAGAGTCAGTCCAGCTGAACTAGAAGAGAGTGAAGAGAGAAGTAGAAAAAAAAAAAAGCTTCACTGCTTAAGAAATAGAGGTTCAGAATCGAAGTTGGTGACAAAGGAAAAAAGAGAAAAAGGAAAAAAAAGAGAATCACCCCCTCTAGTTGAGCATCTTTGACGTTCGTGACTCACGAACTAGAAAAGTGACGCGTTTGTGAACGGGTGAAGCAGAAAAAGCTTATCGAACGGAGTAAAAAGTACGACAGCGAACCGGATGGATCAGACTCAAGGATGTTGAGAAAGGAGGAGGAGGACGGGGGTGGGAGGACGAGTGGTAATGAAGGGGTCCCTCGCACGAGAGGTAGGCAATCAATGACACAAAGGTGGACACAACAGATACGGCAAATTTGAGAGTAGGCAATAGACACCCGGTTGAACGAAACACTTTGAGAAACAGACCAAGTGGAGGGTGGGCAGTTGATATCGTGAGTCGGGAGAGCACCATGGCCTATCGTTGGGCACCGCGACGACGGTCATAGAAACGGGCCTGGCAAGAGACTAAGTCGCGGCTGAGCAATCTCAACAGTATCGCGCATAATGCACAGACGGGATGGTACGGTCGACCCGGCCTGGTGGGCAGACATGTTCCTTGCTTCGTCTGGGGAAGCGCTCAAGAGGGGGTCAATGGTCCAGACTCTCAGTAGTACAAGGCAACCTGGGTTAGGGAAAAAAGCGACCGTGTTTCAAGTTTATGAGAGAGATAGCCGCCCGGTTGGATAAACAGCCTCATTCAGACGCGGTCGAACCCAAGAATAGCCATGGGAGTCAAGAGTCTAGAACCCTGGCTCAACTTACAACCTAGTATGAGGTCGAGTTGTCAGGTCTACAAGCATTGGCTGTAGACGCCCGGAGAAAAGTTTCGCGGGCGTCTAATGAAATTAACCCCCGTTTACAAGCGCGCCTCTTCCGAAGGCCCATTGGCCCACAGGCGACCAGAAGCCTCAGAAACCAACAGGGATTAAATACAGGGAATAAATAACAGGCCCTGAATACAGAGAATGTCTTGGTTCGCTGAGACTTTTTCAAAGTCCCGTGTCTCAGAAATAAAAATACATAGGCCTACCGTTGCGGCCTTGTGGGCTCAGGAATGACTGGCACCGAAATAGACAGATCCTAAACGCTGACGAGGCTATTTGAAACCAAGGATGCCCTCTTTTTTCTTCTCTTGTTATCTTTGCCATTCTTCTCAATCTTGCTCATGAGCTTCGTCATCGTCCCACAAGGTCTATATAATGGTCGCGTCTTGCATTGACGAGCAATGTTTGATGAAGCGCCCGAGAGAAATCTCTTCACGAGACCTGACAAAACATCCGACAAGACTTGTTAGAGATGGGTATTTTTCTCTCTTCTTCTCTCGTCTTCTTTTGATGGTTGCTGTTTCATGCAGGCGTTGCCTCATGTTGTGCATTGGTTGTGCAGAAACAAGCAAATGCAGGCAAACACCTCCCTCACCCACTTCAACTGGCCAGGGTCTTATCAAACAAACAAAGAATGAGAAACCCTGTCAAGCTCAGTTGAAACCCCCATCCTTTATATGACCCATCCATCTTCCCGCTCTAGAGTACAAATCTTGCAGTGTTGCAATCCAACACCAAAAATGCCCCTTCATGGTGATACTTCACTAAAGCTTCAATTCCAACTCCCTCAACTCATTCATTCCACTTTCAACTCCTTCAACAATCTCTCTTCCTCCTCAAATTCAATCTATCGTCCAAATATTCAATAACCCCGCCCCCCCTTGATTCCCCATCCTCTCTCGCTCCCTCTTCTACACACCCCCTCTCCCTTGTCATGGGATGTTAGTTAACCTTTGTTCCTCCGTTTCAACTTTTCTCACCCCACGTTTCCAAAAGTAGCACAAAGAGTATCCCATCTTGATCATCACCTACGTCAAAGGCATCTCATGTCTCTTCTCATTTTTTCTCAAAAAAAATCCTGGTGAAAATCATTACATCAAAGGCTTCTTCCCATCACGTGCTCCTCCACACTAAGGGGGTGTCTACTCACAAGTGTAAAAGCCAATGTCTCATTTCCTCACCCCCGGATTGTCTCTGATCTTTCTTTTGACATTAGCGTCAACCGATTACCTGGATCTAATGGTAATGCCCTTTTTTTCTTTTCCCTTGGCTGTTTCGTCTCCTCCTCTTACAGGGGAAAAAAAAGAATTCGATGATTTCTCACCCCCTTCTAGACTTGTTTCAATATTTGTTGCCATCCCGTCTGGTGAAGAGACATGGCATTTCGGTTACACACCCCCTTTGGAACCTAACCTTCGAACCTGAAGATCCCCTCGTGCCTGCGTTCCCCGTGGAATGCTGTCAACTGTTCCTGTTCCTTGCTTTAGCTTCAGGTCGTGATGCATTGATCGGCTAGAACCCGTCAAGTGCAAACTTACTTTAATTACAAATGAGCTCTGCGGCGTTGGCTGAGGAATGATGACCTGGACGCATCGAGAACATGAGGCGCATATTGGCTTGAAATCTTGAATCTTGAACATGACTAAATTAAGGCTCGTCGTAAACTATCAAATAACATATGCCCGTCGTTTCTATAACCAAACATGGTATTACTGTCGTGAGTGATCAAAAATTCATGTCCCATACTCATACTCCCAAAACGCCGCCCCCAAATACCAGTACATGACCATAACCATTGTGACATTGCAGCGTAAATGCATCAACCACTCCCCCCGTGTATTCTCATCAATGACTCGCTCTTAGATGCTTCCCTTTTGTGAATGACTGACGAACGTGACCTCATCCATACCCAGTTCACCATGCTCCAGCTGCCATCGTGACCGGCACATGGCCCTCAATCGTGTCCCCCCTGCGCCGCTTCATCGGTCGCGGGCTACCATCACGATCTGCTCCCATCTGTGCCCACTGTGACTGTGTCCACATAGAAGTTTGGTCGCTGCTTGGTTCCACCTTGGCACCTTGTGAGCCCCAGTCAGATCCCGCCCCTGTGCCAGTTGACCATCCATCCAGCGTCGGCATGTCCCAGCCCTGAAGACCGTCGCACTCTGAGTTGTCATAGACAAGAGGGTTCGACAGGTCCAGTCCAGTCGTAGCAGCTGGACCCTGGAAGGGATTCACTGCCGACATGGCAGGCTTGAGATCTGCCAGTGTCGTCTGCACATCGTAGTAGCTTTGGCTGTGTGTGTGCCCAGACTGGCTCTCGCCCGCCGTGCTGCACGTCGAAGGCAAAAAGCCGACGCCTGTGCTCGGGGGCATGCCGTGGTCAAAGCTGGTCGGGTACGACCCTTGTAGGCCGGCTGTTGGTGGAGGCGTAGCGAGCCCGTTGGAGAAGGACTCGAACAGTGTAAGTCCATTGTTTGCTGCCGGCACCGTGGGCACCTGCGCCAGGCTCACGCTGGTGTCCCACGCAGAGCTGAACGTCTCATTCATGGCCGCCGTCATGTGCTGGTTGATGGAAGGCGTGGGCGACATGATGGAGTCCCGAGAGACGTTTGCCGACGGGTAGACGAGAGCCTTTTGCTGGTGATAGCGGGACATGGGGTCGTTGACAGTCAACCACCGCCATGAGGTGCCAGCCGGCTTGAACACTGGGTTGTACTTGTACCATTGGTTGGTTGTGTTGAACCGCCAAAAGATGATGCCCTGTCGAACCCACCGATTCGAGTCGGGCGCACATGACCAGAGCTCTTGGTACATGGCCACCTTGCAGATGAGGTCGCTGCCCGTGAGCTCACGTCGAGCCCAAGAGGCGGCATCACCGTCATCCTCAGATCGCTTGCGCTTGCTGCCGGCCCGGTCAAGATCGTGCTTCTTGCGGTCGCCGTCTCCCTTTGATCGCTTCTCCTTCTTGCGCTGGTGCTCCACGTCCGGGTACTGCACCGCCTGGCTCAGGATGCTCGCCCACTCTACCGCGGGGAACGGGACGTGAATGTCCTGTCGGGGTCGGCTGTGGCAGTCACAGTCGGGCTTGGAGTCTCCGCATCCCCGTCGGTGGATTCCCGTCTCGTTGGTGTACACACCCTGCTTCTTGTCGTCGCTGTGCAGCTCAGACGGCCGGGTGAGGCGCGTCACACACTTCCACCGGTGGTTCTGGAGGTTGGGCTGCGTGATTGCCACCTCAACAAAGCCCGTGAGCTCAGACCCAGAGGGAAAGCGGGCGTGGTCGTGCAGCTCCAGAGTTGCGCACATCTCGAGGAGAAGACACTCCTCATCACGGGTGGGAAGATCCAGAGTCTCATAGATCTCGGGCGCATCCTTCTGCCATCGCCGGGTAACCGTCTTGACACAGGCAGAGGTAGATCGGTCCAGAGAGCGGGTATACTCGTGAAGCAGCACATCCTTGCCAAGAACAGTAGGGCTGTCATCGCAGTTGTTGTACTTGTTCAGGTGAGGGAAAGCATCCTGGTCAAGAGGCGTATCGTGAGAATCATAGGCAATATCATCTCTCATCTTGACCTCGGAAGATGAGACATAAACCTCTGCCGTCTTGGGTCGGACTGTGATCAGAGACTGAAGAGCCAGGAGCTGCGAGAAGTACTCGTAGTTGGGCTTGACATCAGGAACTCGGCCCTCTGCCAGAGCAGTCAGAACTGGGTTGGACTTGAACGACTCCTGTTCTTCCTCGTCGTAGTAGTCATCAGAGTTGGTTGAACCAGGCTCCTTCTTCTCCTCAGCAGGGAATAGGAAGTGGACTGCCAAATGTTAGTTGATTCACTAGTTACTGGCCATGCAGACTTACAGCATCGCAGATCTTCAAAGAACTTCTTGACCACTTGCATGTGGCTCGACACCTGCTTGCGTCCCATCTGCTCAATACTGTCGTTGCTGTTGTCGATTCGGAAGATTTCCTTGCTGCCAAGGATAGCGACGCAGATGACAAAGATGTATTCGCTGATCAGCATGTTACGGCCGTGGAGCTTTCCTCCCATGGAAAACTTGCGACGGCCCATGTGAGGCATAAGCAGGACAGCTAGGACATGTCAGTATAGTTCATTTCAAATATGGGAAGGATTCTTACAGTCAACGAAAGCATCCTCGAGCTCTGGCCTCCTCCACACTCCACCCTTATCTTTTTGGGTATCCTTGTGTGCTTGCCGGTTGCGGTATTGTCTAAAGGCAGGCCAGAAGTAGAGGGGGTTCACGCCGCTTCGAGGCCTTCTCTGGAAGCCTCGAGGCTGGTTTCGTGGTGTAGGGACGCGGTACAGGCAGTCGAATGACTGTGAGGGAACCATGGGAGCTGGGAGGCTTTGGGGCACTGAGGGCGAGATGCCCACGGGGCTCTGATAGCATGAGACCATGCCGTTGAAGTTGTGTGAGTGTGCGTTGCCGTTGGCTTCCCGCAGAGACAGGCGGCTGTTGTTGTGGTAGGTTCTTCGAGCATCTTGAAGGTAGTCTGGTGAAGGTGTATATCGCTGCGACGACAGCACCGGCCGCGGGTGATAGAGTGATGAAGAAGACATGGCAGAGGAGTAACTGCTGAAGCAGCAGTGGAATGCCAACAAGAGAGCTCACAGGAACAAGCTTGACGCAGCTAGAATACCGTTCGCAGCTCTACGTATGCAGACAATGAATAGACAAGAGAGGATGAGAATGTTGGAAGGAATTCAAGACGTGGAATGGTGGGATAGATGTATGCTTCTGAAGAAAGGAGGTCTAGGCACTGGAACGAAGAATCGTCAGGAGAAATCTAATAGACGTCTATAAATCCAAGACTCGGGAACAGAGTATAGATAGTCTGAGGACCGTGTCCGCCGAGGCCAGGGCTGCCCGCCCCTCCTCGACCCAAAATATCAAGATCCATCGCCATCCCACCCACAAAGGGTGGGAAGGGCGCCCCAGCGGCGGGGAACTGAGCAGGCTTCGCCCGGAGGGATGTCTACGTCGAGGCGCCATGGCGGCCAATCGAGGGCACTTGCCTAAGCCACCAGCACATGGCAGCTTTGAGGTTTGGTCGAGGGCGTTAGTATGCAAGGGAGCGTCAGGGCGGGGCCGCCATGGTCCATCACCAGGGGAGGCGTCCATCTCCAGGGGAGGGTGGGGAGGGCGTGTCTCGAAACAACTTCAGAGACATCTTCACCCCGAACGGCCCAAGGTATGTGGATGAGATTAGAATCAGACATCCAGAGGATCCGCATTTCCCCTGTCAGGGCGATGAAGTCTTGCACCAACCTCTAGTTCCGATCGTAGCCACGCCGGATAAGCGTTGCGAATATGCATGTCATCCGCTCGCCAGCACCCAATGGATGGTCCCTTGCCAAGGGAGAACGGCGCAGTCCCTGATGCGAGCGAGGCCATTCGCGTATAGGACACTCAGCCTTGTCGAAACTCTCGAGGCCATCGATTCGATTGACCCTGTAGTCTGCTTTTCATTCTCAACTCAGCTCAGCTCAACTCAACCCTCCATCTCGTCGTTCTCATTGCCAATATTGACCCGCGTCCTCCCTCGTCCAGTCAACTGCTGGAGGGCGACCTTGTTCACCTGGCCCCCTACCTTCTTCTGCATCTTTGCGATCTCCTCCTCGGCGTCGACTGCCTCTGCCTCCGCAAAGTCCAAGACAAGCTTGCGACCAAGTAAGTGGGTGTCCCTCAACGCATTTAGCGCGTTCTCGGCTTCGCGGGGAGTGACAAAGTCGGCAAAGGCAAAACCCCTTGGGGTATAGTCAGCCTTCTTAGGAAGGCGTACCGATCTGAGCTGGCCGTACGTCCCAAACAGGGACCTGATGTCCTTCTTGGTGGCTTGGAAAGGCAAGTTCTTGATGATGATCTTTGTACGCTGTCCTGCGGCCCTCTTGGCCTTGTCTTCTCGCCGTCTCTCTTCAGCTGCGTCATGCCCCTTGTGCGATGCCTTGACGGCAAGCGCGTGATCGTCCAGAACATGGCCGTCCATGACTTTGAGTGCAGCCTGCGCTTGGCCCTTTGTCCGGAACTCGACAAAGCCGAACCCCATGCTAAGCGTCTGGCCTGGCTTCTTGGGATCCATCTTGGTCTTGACCCTGGCCGAGACGAATCCGTCGAGGGACTGAAAAGCTTCGGCAAGCCTGGTGGTCGACGTCGTAAAGTTTAAATTCCGCACAAAAAGCGACGTCGTATCCACGTCGTCCTCCGGCTTATCACCGCGTGACAGCAGGTCGTTCACACTAAGGTTTTGGACCGTCGGAGCCGGACGATCCTTTAGGGACACGGCTTGATCCAGTTGGTCGCCGCCTCTGAAGATGTCACTTGGCGCCTTCTCCAGGAAGAGGACGCTATCTCCAATCCGGCGATACGCAAGCTTCCCAAAAGCGGACTTGGCGTGATTAGGCTGCGTGAACTGCACAATGGCGATTGTTCCGCTAGGAGGCATCAAAACTCTCAGCACGGGCCCAGACTCCTCAAACAGCTTACGGAGCTCGTCGATCGTCGTCCCATATGGGAAGTTCTTGACCAAGATGGCCGTGTCGCCCCGCTTCTTTGACTTGAAGGCCTCGAGGTCCACCCCGTTAGCGGCGAAATAGGCTTTGGTCTCTTGGATGACGCTCGTCTCTGCGATAGCCTGCTTGACGGCCGCATCAGCAGAGGTAGGGTCGAGCATCTCTGATTTTGAAACACCAAGACGGTCTGCGACCGACGCGTTGACGGCGTCCTGGCTCATGTAAAGCGCATTCCAGTTGAAGGTGCTGGCAGATGCCTCTTGTTTCTTCCGAATCATGTTCTGCTTCTTGAGAGGGAGCTTGGAGATGGCAAACTCGTCCAAGCCTGTGTCTCTCTTTGCGCTGGCAGGAATGATGTGGAGGATACGCCCCTGAAACGTCGCCCCATCCATGGCTTGGAATGCTTCAACCGCTCCCGAGGGGTCACTGAACAACACCAGGGCAAACCCCTTGCTGGTACCTGACTTGTTGGCGGGTAGATGGACCTAACGTGCATTGTTAGCCGGTGCCCAGCCATTGAAAGTCCACTCAGAAAAATGCAACAAAATTGACAACAATTCAGATAATCGAAGCATCTACTAAAATATTCGCCCTGGTTCTCATCAAACACCGTAGTGTAAGCTGTCCCTATCAGGGGTTCATCACGTTGTCGGTTATAAAAGACGAAAAACAAATAAACAATCTTGGAACATACCTCTTCAAGTGTGCCAAACCCTTCAAAGGTCTCGCGGAGATCCTCCTCGGTGGCACTATAGGGGAGGTTCCGGACAAAGAGCCGAGACGTTCGGCGGATCGCCTCAAGTGAGTCGTCTTTCGGTGGCTCACCCCCCGATGGCTCGACAGGCTGGTCTTCAGCTGTCATCTCATCCTCATCCGAGGGGTTGGCCTGGGGACTGTTGACGACTTCGCCTCCCTCGGCATGACCAGTCTCTTTGACGACAGGCCCTTGCGTAGGCGTTCGTTCCAGATCATCGGGATCAACAAGGTCCAGCAACCTGTTGGTACGTGAACGCAGCCAGTCGTCATCTTCTGCAACTACTGCCGAATGTTCCAGATATGGTTGTTTGGTCTCTGATGACTCGGCTGTCTCTTCATCTGCAGGAGTTTGCATGTGTACATCGGCGGAGCCGGATGTTTCTTTCAGACGCGGTGCTAGAGATTCCGAGGTTGGGGGCTTCTCCGGTGCCTCTATCCTGCGCTGCTTCTCCCTTCGAGTCGGGATCTGCTCGTACTCGTCGTCACTATCCTCCTCGGGAACGGCAGCGGCTGGTATCGCAGAGGCGCCGTCAGCCTGGTGGGCGTTGGTAGCATCTTCCAACGCGCCCTCTCCGCCGGTCTTCATGACCTGGAGGAACTCGCGCAGCTTGGGATCCGCCGCCTGAGGCTCATCTCGCTTGCGCTTCCTCGAGCTCGCGTCCGAGTCCTTCACGATCGGATGCTCCGTGCCCTTGGTGATGGTGCCTGTGCCTGTGCCTGCCGACGCATGTTTGGAATGCGAAGTGTTCTGGCCTTTGAGTAGGGAGGGGTCTGAGATCTAACATTCCATGAGCAACCATAAGTCAAGACATGAGGATGGAGTCGCTTACAGGTCTAGCTGTCTCAACGGCGATCTTGGACATACGAATGTAAGACTTGTTGAAGTACTTGACTGCCTTGGTCGCATCGTCCGAGGTCTTGTAGCCGACATAGCCAATACGTCGCTGAGGAATCAGCTTGACATCGGTAATCTCGCGACCCTTGGCGGAGAAGTGCTTCCGGAACTCGGCCTCGGAGATGTTGGGTGGCAAACCCTTGATGAAGATCCTTGATGAGGCCATTGCGAGTATGATCTGATGATGTTTTGTTGATGTTGACGTCTCCCAGCAATGGTGAATGGTTCACCCGGGGAGCAGAGGTTGAACGCGTCAAGGCATCTTTTGGACGTGGGCTTTTTATGAAGGGAGAGGAAGAAAAAAAAAAGTTTGCTACCCATTCTTATCGTTGAGGCTGGGGCCTGTTGCTGGTCCGTGCACTCACGAGCTCAACCCCACCATGTGCTTCTGAATTGCTTGGAGAAGGAGACGTTTTTCTTCACCGCTCTCAGCGAGTGATGGAAGAAATTCCAGCGAACGAGTTAGACGCCACTCAACCTGTCAAAAGATGCTGCAAGCAGAAGGATCTCTATTGTTCAATCAGTCGGTACAATGCTATTATATCTTGCAGCCCAATTGTTGCTCAGAGATTCTGGTGCATCGAGTCACGAACCGTAGTTGCGGAGGCATGGATCGCCCCTGAAGGCTGAATGCAGAATGCAAAATGCTGTTCCAAGACCCAGAATCTGCATCCCAAATACCGATGGTGTTTATTTAGGATTTATGGATTTTTGAGCTGTGCCGAGTTGATAAGATTCTACTCATGGCAGGTCTTCATGAACAAGATCCAGTTACCTGCACTCATTAGGAGGTTGCGTTGATAGACCAACATAGAACTCGTCACTCATCATCATACTTCCTACAACTAGTATCTGCAAGATACCACTTTGTCACAGATGAGTTGAAGGAAAGGTATGTGAATCAGGATAAACTCTTCTCACCGCTACATCAAAGCTCAGCGCCTCGGCGTTAGCCGTTTTTTAGACGTAAAGGGGCATTGACACACGACTGTACCAAGCCAATGCCTAGAGACACATTTGTAGTTGGTTTTGAGGTATTCCTGGGCGGTTGAGTGGTATAGGTGCCTTTTCAATGCCATTCTCGCAATATCTCGACATATCTACTGTCTTCAGAAGCTCGCAGAACAACAAAACGGCACATCATGAAATGTCAATCATGAGAGATAAACACAAACATCTCCGCATGGTCTCCGAGCAACTTGAATTAACTTTTCTTAGATGGTGGAGGTTCAAAATCTAGAAAGATTCCGAAAGTCTATTAGGACTGAGAGTGGCTAAATTTGGCAGTGTTGCATTCCGAGGACTCGATTGTCGTCATCTCAACTCCTATTCTCCTCACATCGTTACAATGAATTATGGTAGAACAAACTGAATATTAGCTCTTTAATCCTCATTTCTCGTACTGTTCATCTTGAGGGGTGTCTGGGAAATGAATTCTTGATGCACCTCCTGGGACAAGTTGAGCCATCCATACCACGAGCTTGGAATGACCGGTGAGGGAATGCGGATGCAAGCCATCTTCGTTGGAGAATTCTTCACAAACCTTATGGAGGGGCGGATGACTTTCATCAGGACAGCTTTCTCCATCTTGAGGACTATAAGAGATCCTCTAAGCGCTGACCTCTGCACTCCTTCTCTTCATGATATATCAGTGTCCCGGGCGAAGGAAGTCGCTCTGGCAAGCACTCTCCTTTATCATGGCCTCAACCTCTTCCCTATGCTCTACGAGACTATGGAAAACACCGAGCCGACTCGTTGGATGTATTGGAGAAACCGGAACACGGCCATGGATGACAACCGACTACCGCCTTGCCAATGCCATTTGTTTGAGAGCAGCGATCAACCTACCGGATCCAATCAGGGGCCATAATTGATCAAATATGAAAGCCTGAAAATTTACGACTATTTGGGGGTCCTGGGTGACGGTTCATTTTGCAAGAGCTTGGAGTGTCTGATCGGCTTTCGTGGTTATCCAGCCTCGGCTCGCGTCAGGGTGCACCTCGGTATCTCAGTGAGCTTTTCTACGGTTCCCGGATGGTCCAATAGCTGTTTTGGGAGTACGAGAGAGGGAATTACGCAGTCGAATTATCCCGCCGCAAACCCGAGCCAACCGCGAAATGTTCGACAAAGTCGTGGATTGAGAACATCGACAGTGGAGGACTGGAGGCGGGTAGAGATATTGGACCTATGGCCACGGCCCTGGAGAAATGTAGGTTTATGTACAGCTTTCAATATCTGTTCCGGGTGGTCCGGAGAGTTTGAAGTGTTTGTCAAAGGCACTCAACTCTTTCGCCGCACCCGGGTGGTTGGCATGCTGAAGTGAGTATTCGCTCTACGTAGATTCGAGGTGTAGACGCCATCATCCCGCTCGTTGGTCAACTGGCATCTCTATTCTCTGAAGTAGATGGCCTAGGTGGTCAATGGGTCTCTGCATTAATTTCTCCATGTACCTACACCGCCGGATGCGTTATTCCAGGCCGTTGGGCAAGGTTTGGACCGTTGGAATGCAGAGGTGAGCAACGTTGAAGCCGTTACGACCAGCATTTGGTTCATTCCTTGCGATGAACCTTGTTTGTCTTTTGAGTTTTAACCCCTTTTTGTTTTGCATCATCATCGTGCAGTGAGTTATGACTAGTTGTTACGGTAGAGTGACTACGTAGTTGTACCGAGCTTCGAATTGGTTCGTTTGTCATTTTTCTATAAGATAGCAAGCTAGTTGTAATAAATTAATGCCTAAGACAAGCCCATGCTCGAGTTTCCTCTTCATCATTTATTTAATCCGTTTGTCGAGATCTTGCTGTGGATATGTGCTGTGTATCTCCCTCCTTGTGGAACAACATGAGCTTGTATGTCAAAGCCCCAATGGCAATTACCGGCAAGACACATTGTCTACTTGAGATAGTTCATACGTATTGAGAAATGTGGAAATGTTGTCAATCACATTGTTAAGGCTCAGTCCATAGCAGAGTGTTATTTCAGTTGTGATGTAGGGCAATCAGGTTAGCATGTCAGTTGTAAGTGAGTGGGGTTTAGCTTCTCCTATGTGGAGAGCCCAACGAGGTCGGAAATGATATTGTTTCTCATATGTCTATACTCTTCTCCTCGTCTATTGTTCAATATCTTAACTACCTATGGCTTCTTGTATTTTATGACAGAGTTGGCGTGGTGCGTCACCACCGTGGGCCAACACCTCTCTGTGAGCAGTGAGTGACATCATGGATGGCCCACGAGAACAGGCATGATTACCACACAAGATAATCAAACTCACTTTATGAAATAAAAAACATCTTACAAACTGTACAGAGTAGATAGAATCACCAGCAATAACTGCCAGCGAGTTGCAATCTCAGTTCCATCTTCAGGTCCAGGGTAAGCAATCGAAAAGTGGACCTGTCAACTGGAAGTACCGGTGCGTGCCGCGCCGTACCAGGGCAGGTCCCAGCAGCGCGTGCACGTCCCCGGGCGAGGCTACCTGACCAAGGGAAGGTACGGGCACCTGCCAACCCACATCCAACGTCAACAGCCAAACAAGCAACACGACTGCATCCATCCCAAACACGCGACTCCAGAGAAGCATCCACTTCGCAAGGCTACCTACCTACAGACAAGATATCGCTGCGCCGCATCGTCAACATCACCCACCTATCGATTAATCAAAACACTCACGCCTCTGTTCTGCGCCTTGCGATCATCACATCCCGTACGTGCGCCCGAGCTCCTTGAAAGGGGCGTCGAGTGAGGCGTCCAACTATCGTCGTCCACGCGCGCCAGCCTCACGCACCTCTGACGACTCTGCATGCTAACAAGTCATCTCCTCAGTCGAATCGCATTTGATACCAGCACCGAAAGACCTCTCCGACCTGCACAATGTCCGACATCAAGGCAACCGAGACCCCCGCGCCTCGGGAGAAGCTCGAAGGTGGGCAAATTCTTTCTTGTTTTTCTGACCAGCGCATCATGCTAACAGAAGACCAGCCCAGATCAAGTCCGCCGACATGGTGAGATGACCCGAACACGAACCGTATAAACAAGAAACGATGGCTGACGAGGATTGGAATAAAGACGGAAGACATGCAGCAAGAGTCGATTGAAGTTGGTATGCTAAACACCAACGTCACCTGATAGCACAGGACACAAGGCTGATATGACTGCAGCTCAGGAGGCTATGGCTAAGTTCACCATCGAGAAGGTTGGTCTATCAGGTTCCATGATTGGGTTCGTGCGATCAGAGAGCTGACATTTCTTCGTAGGATATCGCACAGCACATCAAGCGGACAGTTCGTACACCCCCAGAAGCCGTCACAGCCGACCACTCACTCACCCTCTTCAGTTTGACGAGCGCAAGGGCCCTACCTGGCATTGCATCGTCGGCCGGAATTTCGGTAGCTTCGTTACTCACGGTGCGTGGTCAAAACCTTGTCGTGATGCTTTCTTGCCATACCCCTGGGCTCGATCGAGTCATGACATTCCTGGGACCTGACTAACACATACACGCCTCTGCAGAGACCAAGCACTTCATCTACTTTTATCTTGGCCACTGCGCAATTCTACTATTCAAAACGCAATAGGCATGGGAGAAATGGCTCACCGGTGGGGGCCTTTGGAAGAGCTTGTTGTGAGCGAGAGGGACGGTGTGGTGGGACAAGGACAAGAAGAAGAAAGGCAAGGAGGCATCGCGTTTACGGCTTTCCATGCCATGCCATGCCGTCCACCCAACCCTATTTGCCTATGTACGAGATGGATGGCGGTAGAGCTTGCTTGCTCGCGGCTGTACTAGGTTCATGATCAATAATGAGGGGCGCTCGCCCAGTGATTCCACTTTGTCGCTGTTCCTGTCTTTGGTGATGAGATGGGTCCCGAGTATGTTCCTGATGAGAGGCTTCACGCCAGTGAGTGGCTTGAGATCGGGTGTGCTTTTCCGTCGTTCCTGAGACAGGTGGCTATCAGCGTGAGACAAGTTCATCTTCTTGTCATCGTCCCGCGCCGAGAAGAGTCGGACTCGTCTTGGCTCGTCATCTGTAGCCTGCCGTGGAAGCACAAGACGGCTTAAACTAGGATCAACGATTTCTGCCCCATCTGAGCATCACTGACATCGCGGCAGGACGCATCGTTAGCCCGCACGATCGTCGGCCCATGGACGATCCAACGCCAAGTTCACGTGGAGTCGATGAAGCTAACCAAGACGAACTCCTTCAAAGCACTTTAGAAAAAGCTCGCCAGCAATTTTTTGGTGCCAAAGTCAAATGCCTCCCCCGTCTTGCCGTCTCGGTTCTAGCCTCGGGTCCCCTCGTGCAAGTTTAGTAAACACCCTCTTCCCGTCGTTCGTTCAAAAGGGAAACTAGACATTCTTTCGGAAACTGAAAGAGAGAGAGGTGCGGGCAAACACAACGCCAAGTCCGGGCTCCATCAAAACGCCTCTCGCGGGGTGGGAACCCCAGCACATGGGGTGTGGGAGAGTGGACGACGCGGGATTTGGGTGGCTTTTCAGATTTAGGGACTTGACTCTTTTCCTCTCTTTACCCGGCGAGAAACTAGGTTTCGGGCGGGTACTGTAACAGACAGAGTTGTGATACCGAGAATCATCCATATCACTTTTCTTTGTCGTTAAAGGCGCCAATGAGCAATGACCTGAGGAAGAAAAAAGTCTATCACAGAGGGGGGTCTTTGCAACACCCATGACTTGAGGGACCCTCGTGGGATCATCAGGGACTTGTATGGGATGACCTCGGCGGAGGCCAGAAGGAATTGATCAACCGGTCTCTACGTACGTACGACGTGGGGGACATTGAGAGAAAGATCAAGCCTCGGAATATGATCCGGCCGGCCGTTTATCTCTCTCTCGGGGATATTGAGTCGAATTCACGAAGGATGGATGGACTCGTCAACCAACGATACTTACAGGGTTTAACAGAACTCGCAGCCGATAAAAAAGTAAGCATGCAACCCGACTTATGCCGGAAGGGACCTCGAGCGTTCTGGATGCTCATGCAGTCCGACTCCATTGGAACCTCTGTTCTGTCATTGTTCGTTCGGGGATCCAAATGCCCAACACCACCACGACCCAGTGACCACCCCATCACGCAGTCCCCTCGTCCTCCAATAGACCTGACGCTATGTTACTGTAGACATGGGGGAATGGCGTCCCCCCCAAGCAAAAGCGTTCCGTGGCCCACTCACCCGCCCGCCAAGCTGGTCCCGGTTCAGAGAGATCCTGGTCACCTACCTCTTGTCTCTCATCTTTGGAATGGCAAAAAGAGAATCAAGGTGTTAGGTAGGAGCAATTATTCCGTATAGTAAGTCACTCACGGCAAGATATCTGATGTTTCTCAAGAGCAGCTGATACAAAGGTCGAATGGCCTTCTCCTCTAGCTCTCTTCCCTCAGCAGGGACGTGAGACAAACATGTCAAATCTCGTCAAGGTGGCGAATACACGTTCCCCCTCCCCCTCCCCAATGAGGATTTGCGTGCCTGAACTCTAACGAAAAAGCCGTTCGTCAGAAGGGGACGACGACAAAATGCGTGGCACGGGCAATGAGGAGGGGGGTGGGCGGCGTCAACGCTGACGGACTTGTAACCCGCCGTGCCCGATTGGCATTACATTGCAGCGGACCTATCCGGTTTCTGATAGAGCGAGGTGGAAAATGGGCAGTGATGGACTTTTTTGACCAAGCAACTTCTCTGTCGTAGGTGGCAGTTGGACGAGAAGAGAGGATGTAGGCTTACAAGACGCTGACGTCCATGATGACATGCAGACCAACGAAGCTCACAAAGCAGCTACTCTTGATCAGAGCCCCGGATGTAATTCGGCCCTTTGGCAGCGCCTCTCTGTACATCGTGGTTCAAGCTGACCTGCAGGCACAGACAGGGTGACAGGGATAAAGAACTCTGGAAGTTTTCCATCCTTCTCTCTCCCAGTGTATGATTCTTGTTTCAAAAACTGTGTGCAAAACTTCACCTTCGTCCCGCCAAGACTCCCAGGTAATAAATCATGACGCTCGGAAGCCCGTGTTCCTTGCTCCAGATTCGTCTTGCCATGGTTCGTTTCGCGGCGCTTGGTCTCCGACATCCTTGCTTTTCTCTATCCATGTGTGGTCTACGAGATGAGATGGCACTTCTAGCGGTGCGCTCGTGCTGAATCTAAAACCAGTCAAAGAATCAATGTCGAGACACAACGGTGCTACCCTGTTGTCCAGTGCCCGTTTTCTCGCGTCGGGTATTATTGCAGCCGTGACTTCGGGTAATCGACGTTGCTGCAAGTGTGCAGCAATGAGAGAATAGTTGCCACAATGGTTGTACATCTAGGGATGTCTCCTGTGACGCTTCGGCTTCAGAGTAGTCTCGTCCTGTCCTGTCCTCGACACGCACGCATTGCATTCCCGGCAGCCTTACGCCGCAAGATCCTAGTACGTATATGGATCATAGTAGATTCCCCTCAACCCCTAGATGTTCAATCTTATAAGTATTGGGTTTCAGGCAGGAGGATAACTATAGGGGCATTTCAGCAATCGTTTCTCAATAGAAACCCATCTCCTACCAATTTTCAGCTCCTCCTCACGTCCACGAATGGTAACCCCTAATATCAATCTCAAGGATCCACGACTCCCTCCTCTGGCTAGTTTGATGAACCTCAATAGTGTGAATGGGGACAAACTCCAGCACGAAATTGCAGTAATCGATATCCCATAAAAAGGGATATCAACCGACGAAAACAACCCTCGGCGAACTCGAACTCGAGGGAGTTGAGAGATCAATATCCACGGCAAGGATAGATCCCTGGTCATTTCACGGAGTCGAGAGCCGGCGGGTCCTTGGTCCCTGCTGAATCCCAAATGCCACCTGAATCATTCGGCGAAAGATGGATTCGACATTTTACTTCGGTCCATCGCCTCCTGGCTATTATTTGTCTTTCCCCCTTCTTCACCTTGAGGCTTCACGTGCGTCACCAATTGCAATAATTCAAGTTTGATTATTCCCTCCTTCAAGGGTCCGGCATCGACACATCCCACGTCGCAGATGCCACTCCCTCTCCCTGAAAAAAAGTACAAACACGAGCTGTGTGGTAAGGCGGTCCAGCCCAGTAGGCGCTTGCACTTTCGCCCTGTCACTTTCTTTTTTTACCATCTTGGATGTACGAGCGAGACATTCTGCTGGGCCATGTCAAAGTCAGCGCCTCTTCGAGACACACGAAGCGGCCGTGGCGTACGCACGTAAACCGCGGGATGCCAATGCAGACCAACGCCAGCCCAGCCCAGTCCATCTGGACCCGCCCGAGTTGTCTTGCTCGTGTGTCCCACTCACGTCGGCCAAGCCCGTTTTCAACTCATCAAGTCTGATGAGCTGGGGTTCTACATACAGGCAACGATGTAGAACATACAACTCGGATCATAAACAGCCCTGATGAGCTGCAACACGGCACTCTGCGTGGCCAAGACCCGGCGGTCTGTTGAGGAACCTCGGGACCGCAAGGACCCGTCCTCCGGGACTTTGACGGATGCACGCGGTTCGGACGTGGGATGTGAGGTGGGCGTGGGATCAAGGCGGAGGCATGAGTCTGGAGCCGTGGTCAACGTGACCACCATTGAACCCGCCAGGCCTGCCCAGATCTGGTGTCATACACATATGCGTCGCTTCCCCCCGGTTGTCTGTCAATGAGTAGGTCCTCTCGGTTCCAAGAAAGATGGGTATTGGTATCGTAGCGGTGTCTACCGGGTGGTTGATGCGTACCCAGCTACCTACCTGGCTCGGGAACGCCCAGCGGTCTGAGAGATCCAGAGGCGATGGCACCTCGAGCGACGATGTTGTCTCGGGTGGTTTCACCGACAGAGATCCAAACGCTCCATGACCGGTGAAGCGAAGCTTGTCCACCTGACGAGTTTCCTCTCTTCTCAATCGTCGCGGCATTGGGCCTCAGTAGGCGCTACGCGGCAGCCTTGCCTTGATATCCTCCCGTCTGGGAAGTTGTGTGAACCCCAGGCCAACCACAGCAGTGATGTCAGAGAGCAGCAGGTCAACTTGCTGCTTCACCAAGACAGAGCCCTGCATACCGCCGCTGAGAGCTCGAGTGAGGCGGCGAGTACTCCCACGCCCCCGTCCATTGCTGTTTGGGATGGGATGGATGGATGTACCTCCCGCCCCATGTCGAGCCAGGGGTCTTCCGCCGACCAGGGCCCAACTGCCCCGGCGGACTCATCCCTGCCCCCAGGCACCGCTCGCCTGCTGCTGCTGGTTCTATTCGCGGACTGGCGGAGTGCCACGAGCTCTTGGGACGTTTCCTCAAGAGGCCTGGCGCCGTCGCTGCTTTTGCAGGAAAGCAAAAAAATTGTGCAACGTTTTGAGGAGCTTTGACGGTTGAGATGCGTTTAGGCTCAAGAGGACCAAGCGAGACGTTGCGGCTTTCCAACTCTAAATTCTCAACTGTCGTAATACTCGACAATCTCGTATTTGAAGTGAGGAGAGCAATTGGTACTTGGGTGTTGTGACATGTCCGGTAGGGGAAAAACATGCCGCTTTGGCAGCAATACGATGATCCATCAGGCCAAAGCTGAGCCACGCTCTCCCAAGAGCTACGGTTGAGGAAGAGGCTAGCCTGGAAATGCTCACCCAAGCAGATCAGAAGCTT